AGTCACACTGGTGGAATCCCACCTGGCCCTGGCCCCAGTCAGACAGGAGGAGTTCCGCCGGGCCCCAGTCCGAGTCACACCGGTGGAATCCCACCTGGCCCTGGCCCAAGTGAGCCAGGCCAACCCCCATGCCCAACTCTCCCCATAGGTCCTAGCAGCGGCGGGGAAGTGCCAGGAGGTAGTTCATCCCCATCCACCAAACCCGATACTACGGGACCAGGAGGTCCGCCAACATCGCCCACTGTTCAAGTTCCAACCGTACACTCTTCAGTGAAGCCTCAGCCTAGCAGCAGCTCCCCTCCAGCCAGTACTCCAGTTCAACCTCCAACAACCAAACCTGTCCCCCCGTCGAGCACTCCAGGAAAAACCAAGCCAGGCCCTCCAACAAGCACTCCTGCTCAGCCTCCGTCCAGTGAGCATCCAACCAAACCGATTCCTCCAACAACTAAACCGGTTCCCCCTACAAGCACACCAGTGCAGCCTCCAACCAGTGAGCATCCAACCAAACCGATTCCTCCAACAACTAAACCGGTTCCCCCTACAAGCACACCAGTGCAGCCTCCAACCAGTGAGCATCCGGTTCCTCCGACAAGCACCTCCATTCATCCACCAACGGAGACCCCAACCGCTACAGATCTGGGCACTTCGGTGCCTATAGTCCCACCATCTAGCAGTGTGACGCCAATCCCACCCCCATCGCCAAAGACATCGTCCGAAGATGGGGTGAAGCCAACGACGGCCGAGTCAGCCATTGTTCCCACAACTACTCCTGTACAGGATGATCCCCCGGACGACCCCCAGGGCGATCCTCCTGGCGATCCTTCGGACCACAAACTTATGAGGGCGTTTTCCCGTCTTCACTTGAAGAAGGGTGAAGCATTGAGAAAACTTAACTGGGTATAAGTCTGAGAAGAAACCTAAGAAGCCCTCTGAGTCCCAACCATGAGGATGGTACCGGTGAAGGGGAGTAATACTGGTAGGTAAGTGTAGGGTTAATTATTTTCCTACGAGAGATCTATATTGAAGGGGAGCAGTTGTGGAGCTGCTACTTGTGTCTTTCTTCCTAATTCTCTTTTACTTACTGTCGACCGTTCGAGTCTGCGAAGTTCTTAAAAAGGTGAACGGTAGATAGGTGTTGAATGATATTGTGTTTTACTAGTATGATCTAACTATGCTGGCAAAGGTCGATCTGCGTGTGTAGTCACTTCAGTCGTAAGGTCTTTTTTTTCGATGGTATGTTCCCCAGCGACGTAACCGAATGGCCGTTCACCGATACAATTTATACACGCCAAAGAGAAGAGGATTCAGAGATAGAGAAATGTTGTGTAGATCCAGAGCTTCCAGGACCCCAAACCAAAAGTTTCATCTGCTAGTATGAGAAAGAGAAAGGGGCAAGAAAGGATTAAATACAATACAAATAGGAACGGAATAAAAGAGACGGCCCCGACACAAGGGGATGCGTTTGAGAAAGGGAAAGGATCTTTAGGTTCAAAATCAAAAGGGTAGATAACTGCAAGATACGCAAGACAACAACCATCATCGCGGGGATAATGATACTGGAAATCCCCTCCAACGGGTTGCTTCAGTTCGCCCAGATTTGTCTTTATCCCGGTTTATTTGGAAGAACCCCACCAGTGGTTCCATGCGCCCAACACCTTACACCAGAAACAGCTGGCATAGCAACTACCCGAAATCAACAAAAACCACAATGAATATGATACGGTCAAAACAAGACAAAACATGGCCCATGGGCTGTAGACAGTCGACGTGAGTCCAGCGAAGAAAACATATGCAGGGTAGCAGATAGATAGAAGGGGAAAGATAAGCGAGAGTCGTAGTAGGTGGAAAGGAGGTTGGGTGAGATGAGGATCAAGAAGGGTTTCCCCGAAAAGAAATAAAATCCAAAATGAAACATGAGGTCGACCATGACAAGAAGCATTTCTTACAGGCGCGCAATGAAAAGGGTATATAAGGTTCGCATCGAAGCCACTTGAAAGATAAAAGGAAACGAAAAGGAAGCGAAAGAAGATCTCTAGAAAGTTTCACGAGCTATTGGACCGCAGCAGTGCCTGCTTGTTTCCCGAGATTAGCACACTTATTCTGAAGGAGAATGAAAAGATTATTGACGTACCCGCTCCATGGAGAGATCCTCAGCCTTCTCGGCACTAGGACTTGCAAGACCACCCCGATTGACGGTGCTCGATGCAGTGATTGATCTACCTTCCATGGCCGGACGTGGGCCTTTGCCGTCTGAGCCCGTGTGATGAACCGGATGCATCTCGCCGCTACTAGAGATTCGCGACTCTTTGCTCTTTTCCAGAAGGGAACCACCAAGCGTGGCACATTTAAGGATGGTCTGCATCATTTGGTTCTGCTTTAGTGGTTTCGAGAGATACTCGTCCATCTGAGCTTGTATACACTTCTCGCGGTCGCCCAACATCGCGTGCGCAGTAAGGGCGATAATCGGCGTCCGACTAAGACCGGACTCCCTCTCATATTCTCGAATCTTGCCTGTAGCCTCGAAGCCACCCATGACTGGCATTTGGACATCCATGAGGATGACGTCGTATCGACGTTGCTTGACGGCTTCCACAGCTTCCAGACCGTTACTAACGACTGAAACATTATGATTGTGTTTCTCTAGGATCTTCACGGCCAATTTCTGATTAACGTCATTGTCCTCTGCGAGAAGGATGTCAAACGAACGAGAATGGTCGGTAGTAATAGGAGTAGAGCGGCCTTCAAGCGCAGGCAGCATACCATTACCCAGATCTATAGGTTGGCATGGTGTGGTCATATACGAACTGATTCCGAGATCCAATGCAGACTTCAAGCTGACACATACCAACGGGCAAACCAGGACAATAGGCACGTATTTGAAGTCATCGAATGTCCGGAGCAACCGCGCTGTACCAACAGAGTCCACAATGATAACGTCGTACGCGTGGCCAGACTCCTTGCCAGATGGGTCCTGAATCTCAGGTGGCGGCACATGATCTTCATTTCGGACAACCAGCGGCTCTAGATCCATCTGCTTGAGCATCTTCATAACATTCTCTGCCTGCGTGCCGTTCTCCCCTTTGTCGATGAAGAGGACGCGGTGGTTCTTGTACGGAAGGAGCTGAGATGCAATGACATTCAAGGACTGGTCTGCGAGTTTCACCACGCACGTGAAGTGGAATGTGCTCCCATGGCCATACTCAGACGTGACCCATACATCACCACCCATCAAGTTCACCAATCGTTTCGAGATAGATAAACCAAGGCCTGTTCCGCCGAATCTCCGCGTTGTCGAGCCGTCAGCCTGCTGGAAGGTATCGAAGATTAAGTCAAGTTTGTCCTCCTCAATACCAATACCTGTGTCAGACACGGAGAACTCGAAAGCATATTCGTTGGCTGCACACTGTTCGCGGTCCGACTTGCGAATCGTGAGCTTAACCTCTCCGTGCTCCGTAAACTTGATGGCATTGCCCACCAAGTTAAGAATAATCTGACGGAGACGGAAGGGATCACCGATAACGTAGTCTGGTACCGTGTTATCGACCTGGTAGGTCAGGCTGAGGAACTTCTCATTTGCCTTCACCGCAAGAGTCTTCAGTGCGTTGAAGACGGTGCCTCTGACAGTGAAGGGAATACTTTCAATAACCATCCTGTTCGCCTCGATCTTTGAAATATCGAGTATGTCATCAATAATCGTTAATAAGCTGTTGGCGAGATTGTGCACAACATTCAACATCTCACGGGTATAAGGCTTGAGATCATCCGTATCTAATGTCAACTGCGTCATACCGATAATGCCATTCATAGGTGTACGGATTTCGTGACTCATATTTGCCAGAAATTCAGACTTGGTGCGATTGGCCAGCTCGGCTGCTTCCCTAGCAGCAGTGTTTCTCTGAATACTATCACGGAGGTTGGAAACCATCTTATTGATCTTTCGCTTCAACTCGTCCATCTCACCGGAAGCATTGACGGTGATAAGCTTCGTGAAATCGCCGTCGGTTGCGGCATCTGTAATTTCACCAAATGCACGCACCTGAGACGTGAGATTTTCTGCCATGATGTTCACATCCTCGGTGATTTCCTTCCATGTACCAGCAATTCCTTCGACGTTGGCTTGACCGCCCATCTTGCCATCAACACCGACATCGCGTGCGACCTTCTTCAACTCGGTTGCGAACTTAGCGAGTCGGTCAACCATGTGATTGATCGTCACTTTGAGTGTCAAGATTTCTCCTTGGGCATGGACTTCGATCTTCTTGCTAAGATCACCCTTGGCAATAGCCTGGGTAACATCCGAGATACTGCGTACCTGCGATGTCAGGTTCTGGGCCATGGTGTTGACATTATCGGTAAGATCCTTCCATTTGCCCTCCACATTATCCACCTTGGCTTGACCACCAAGAGTACCATCCGTGCCTACCTCTCGAGCGACTTTGCTGACCTCAAAGGCGAAAGTATTCAGTCGGTCCACCATGCCATTGATCGTGCTCTTCAGATCTAGTATTTCACCTTGGACATTCGCAGTAACCTTCTTGGTCAGGTCACCCTTTGCCACGGCGGTGGTGACATCAGCGATTTCTCTGACCTGGGTGGTGAGGTTGTTGGCCATTCGGTTGACATTTTCGGTCAAATCCTTCCACGTACCCTCCACATCATTGACTGTGGCTTGACCACCGAGCACACCATCCGTACCGACCTCCTTAGCAATCTTAGTAACTTCCTGCGCAAATTGACGCAATTGATCCACCATGGAATTAATGATGTTCTTCAGCTCTGCAATCTCTCCTTTGCAGTTGGCCTGGACCTTCTGTGTCAGATCACCTTTGGCGACCGCTTTCGTGACGGTAGCGATATCTCGCACTTGGGTTGTCAAATTGTTCGCCATCGCGTTGACATTGACTGTGAGTTCGTTCCACATGCCTTGCACTCCTTTGATCTGAGCCTGTCCACCCAGAACACCCTCAGTACCGACATCACGTGCGACGCGTGTAACCTCCGTGGCAAAAGTACGAAGTTGATCCACCATGGTATTGATTGTCTGTTGCAGTTCCAAAATTTCACCCTGGGCCCGGCTCTCAATCTTCTGGCTCAGGTCACCGTGGGCGACGGCTGTTGTGACTACGGCAATCTCACGCACTTGATCCGTAAGATTCTTGGCCATGATATTGACGTTTTCTGTGAGTTCCTTCCAGATACCATGAACTCCTGTGATCTGAGCCTGGCCACCAAGGATACCTTCAGTTCCGACCTCTCGGGCGACTCGAGACACTTCACTACCAAACACTTGCAGCTGGTCCATCATAGTGTTGATCGTCCGTTTGAATGTGGCAATTTCTGGGTCCATCTCCAGGGGATGTATCTGCACCTTCATTGACAAATCACCGTTGGCGACCTGGGTAATGATGCCACCAATTTCCCGTAATGCCTTCTGGAAAGCTTCGTTGGCTTGCTGGTGTTTGCGAAGCTCTCGCTCCAGCAGGACCACGTCTTCATTTTCAACCTTGGTCAAAGCCCGCCGCGTTTGTTCTTCCTGCTGTTGTAACTCATCACGCACTTGGGCGATAATGTCTTTCTGAAAGCTTATCTCCTCCGCCTGTTTTTGAACATGGTTCCGTAGATAACTGATGTCCTCCTCGCGTACCAGTCGAGTCCTCGAGTCCAGATCTTCATCTTCATCGCTCTCCTCTTCGTCAATATCCTCCTCGGGCTCTACTGTTGGCCTTGGTTGGGAGGGTCTATGGGAGTTTTGCTGCTGTATTGCGGAATAGAAGTTAGAAACTTGCTGGGACGACGAGCGAGAAAGACCAAAAGACCACAAGAAGTCAGCTTCCCTCTCAATAGAGTTGAGGGAAGGCTGGGAGGGTTCAGGAAGGGTTCCGGGGGAAGTCTGGTGACTGACAGCTTGAGATTCTTGTTGATGAACTCGACGAACTAAAGCCTCCAACTCAGTTTCAAAGGCCGTCTTTGCTGGACTTGCATCTCCCGGTAGCTTTGAGAACTTGGCGTCGTAACCATTGGCTGAAGAGTGAGATGGTTGAAAATCGAAGGGAGGAGCGGAGCCGGAGCGAGGGGTTTCTCGGGCAAGACCCCGAAGGATGGCAGCAGCGGCCGCGAGCGTTTCGTCCGCGCCAGCCATTGTGCCTAGGACGACTCAATCACAAACGTGACATAAGTAGTGTTGCTGCGAAGATTTTTCCTTTCTCCTTTCGCTCGTTCAAGATTCGTCTAAAATATGATAATACCGAAGATGAGAATTTATTCGGGAGACCGGTCCAGCTGATCGTTTTAAGAGGGGGACAAACAAAACGGAAGGGATAGAGGAAATAATAAATAAAAAATTATGAGCGAGGTGTATTTGAGAATGGACGGGATAAAGGAAAGAGGAGTCTATAGGATAAACGTTCGGATATTGAATCGTGGTGATAAATAAACAATATTGATCACCAACAGAAAGTGTAGAGTAAGAGAATGATAAAAGAAAGAGGGAAAATATTGAAGGGAAAAAAATATTACCAAGTAACTGTCGGTTGGTGATTGGGTGAAAGACGGAGGGGGGGGTGAAGGTAAGAAAAAAAAAAAAAGGAAAGGTGGTTTAGAGAGGAAGAGGTGAAAAGAGGAGAGGAGAGAGAGAAAGACTAAAAGCAGCGTGAAAATTAAACGATGGGGTAAAGAAGAGGAGGACGATCCAGAGGGAGTTGAAGATGAACCTAACTTAACCTAACTAACTTACCTGACGGGAAGCCGTGTTACTGACACGAATGATCGGGCGAATCTACTAAGGCGACATGGGGGTGGAGAGCGAACAGTCGAAAATGGTCCAGGGTTCCGGTGGACGGTGTGGGCAAAGATTCAAGAATTAAGGCAAAAGGATAAAGCACCCGAAGAGACAGAGACCGTCTGGTCTGGGCGGCGAGACGAGAAAGTCAAAAAAAGGGAGAGGTGAGCACTGAAAAGGGGAGGTTTAGATTATCAGAGGTTGAGATTGTGGTTGTGAGTTTGAGTAGTTGGTTCGGTGGAGAGAGAGAGTGTGTGCGAAGAGAGTGAAAGATCAGTAAGCGTCCGTTTGGTGTGCTTTGCGACTTTTCCTTTTTTTTCCCCCTTTGGTGAGAGCGCGCGGGTGAGACTTGAGAGGGAAGGGTAAAAAAAGGGCTTGTCTTTCCTAAGAAGGAGAAAGGGCCCAAAAAAAGAATAATAACTACCAAACCAAAAAAAAAAAAAAAATTAATTTACGGGAAAATAATAAAGAACACTCTGCTCTGAAATCGAGAGGGGCCCTTGGTTTGGATTGTATTTGCTCGCTTTGAATAAGTTTCTTTAAGTTCTTTTTTCCTTTTTATTTTATTTTTATGGTTGTTGTTATTATATTCTCTTATACCCTCCTCTGAATGGGTTTGAATTTTTTTTTTTTTTTGATAAAAAAATCTGGATTGTGGACTTTGTAAGGGGGCGGAGTTGAAAGAAAGAGTAGAAGATAGGATAGAACCACGACACTTGTGAGGGGGAAACAGGGAAAAGGAAAAAAAGGAAAGAAAAAAGAAAGAAAAAAAAAAAAGATGGACGAGGAGACGAATAATGCTATTGGGCTTGACTTTGAAGCACCCAGCCTGGCAGAGAAGCTGACCTGCTGAATCGTCGTTCTTTGCGGTGGGTATTGTTACTAGTTGGGTAAAGTATATAGTGGTTACAAGTAACTACTACTTACTGTACCCTATGAGGAGCATACGCCGACCTATGAAGACAAAAACTAACTACTCTGTATATAATCTCAAAAGAAAACGAAAGAAAAGGAAAAGAGAGAGAATAATCCAATGCAACTCTATCCCATGTCTATTGTTGTAATAGGAGCAAATATTTTTCCAAAGGTTTTCAACGATGTATTGAATTGAATGCACAACGAACATTACACCCCAGATCAATTTAAGTACATACTATCTTCGTCCTATTATTTATCTCATCATTCCCTCCGATCCGATCAGGTACCGGAGAAAGAGACTTATCCCAATTCCAGTACCTCAGTGAGGACCTTTAGATTCGTCTCGGACAGTCTAACTACTACTACATCCTACTAATAATAATCCAGTTAGTTCACGGAATAACTCCAACTCCCATCCCTCCGAGTCTAATAGCCTGGAGGATGGTGCAATGGAATTAAAGGGAAAGAGAAAAAGTAATAATAGCAGCAAGTGGAGGACGTCTTTCCAGACTTGTACATTGTTGTGTGTGTCTCACTCATACCCTGTTCCGTGACTGGATGGTGGTGTGGATATTATGGGATTTAGTGCGTGGGCTTTAGAATCCACTACACATCAACAAGCCACTTGACTGCCATCGTCGTAACCGCCACACCCACATTGCTAAGTCTTCGTCATGGGTGCACGGGCACCCCCTTAGCCTCCATCCTGTCTTGTCTTTTCAACTTAACTACCGATCCATCCGCTTTTATTTCCTGGTCGCTGGGTTTACTTTTTTTCGCTCCGAAACTTGTTATCTTTCTATTTTCTGGTTCTGGGGGATTCATGACCAATTAGTCCATCTTTCACCGACACCAATCAATCACTTTCATTCCCTAGTACTTGTACACAAGGTTCTGGGATCAATAATATTATTGTATTGTACTTGATAAACATTCAATTCAAAAGTAGGTAAACAAGGTGATTCCTTGAAAATATTACGACGAGGGAGGGAAATAAAATACACTTGACCGATATGTTGTGAGTGAGTGAGTGTGTGTGTGTGTTTTGATCCTTGTTTCATCACATCCTATTATGTGAGGATTGTGGTGATCACTTCCAGGACTAGTGGCGATCGTATGGATGTCTGTGGTTCTAGCTCATAGTGTTGGCCCCGGTTATTACATATCACACTCCTCACCATTTTTGGTCAGGAGGTGTGGTCAAGGATGATGAAGAAAGGAAGGAAAGTAAAAGGATGGAGGGGAAGAGCGAAAGGTGATCCTAGATGGAAAAGAAAGATTAATTAGTATTATTTTTTCCTCTCAAGGAGCCAGGTACTTAGATCTGGACTTGAAGGTTGAAAAGCTCAACCTACAGAGTACATACAGTGTACATCAACTTTAGGTAGAGGCCTTGAAGTTGATCCGTCATTTTTGCCTGATAGTATTCATTGGATATCCTGTCCTGTATCCTGTCCGTATTTGTATGCACATACAATACACACACCACCATCCCTGGAATATCCACATGTCTGGAGACCACCTTTTTCTAGAGAAGTTTATTGAGTAACTCTAGTGGCTCCTGATTGATTTCACTGGTTCCTCCCCCAAATTATGATGGGAAGGTTCCAACAAAAGCTTCGTCGGTTAAAATCTTATGAACCATTCTAGGGGGGAAGTGGTTCCATCAGGTAGATAGGCATCACCGTCAATCGGTGGGGGGGCAGGCCTGTATGTAATGTACAATGCACCTGGGTGTACGATACATACAACGCTAAGATTCCCCTGGAGCATCGACGGCGTCTTTAAGACCAGAACTTAACAGTCGCGTGCGGGTCCCATCAAGAAATACATGAGCCAATGATGGAGAGGATAGCCTGAATTGCTCCAGAGGAACTATTCCTCTTTGAGATTCTCATGCGAGGTTGTAAAAATTTCCGTCGCAGTTTAAAGGGCTGATAAAGTGCCCTTAGGGAGGATCGTTACACCTTTTCAATGGTTTCAAAAGCCGGCTAGCGCCCGTTGGATGGAGGGGTGTTCAAGCCGCAATCTCCTTGGTTGCCTTAAATATCGTATTCCGGGGTTGTAGCGTTAGTGATTAACTTTCGTCCATGCTGACCTGTCACTTGGCACAACACTCTCTGGGGTATGCACAGGTAATCATAGTGAGGCAGCACTAAGAGACGGGGATACGCCGCGGTAGTGCCTAGTTTATATTCACGGAATAACCCTATATATTTGAGATTGGAGCCGAGTAGTCAGAACCTGTTCTAAATATATTTCCTTTATTATCTGTAATTGCCGGTTCACCTCCATCTCCGACAGTCGACCTGGATAGATTAAGGCCCCGACTACCTAAAGTTGACATGTCTGTGGCCTCAGAGTAATAGGAAATGACGGAAGTAGCTACTACTAAATGGTATAAAGTCCCTTCTTGGGCTACGTGTCTCACTGCCAGTTACTCCGTGGATATTGCAGTGCATGGCGGACCCAGAACTGGTTACTATTGAATATGACCATAAAATTACCTAAATTATCAGGCATATAAGCGTGCCTAGTGAATAGGAGATTTGTTGAGTCGAATAAAGCGCTCAATTACTTGGTCATGAGGCCTATATAAGGATTCATAACCCCCCTAGATAGGCCTCCTTGATAGTAGAGCAATCAAGTCAGTTGAGGATCATCAATCTAGGCGTTCTACAATCGTCAGATACGATTTCAATACGTGTTTTTACTACATTTACTGCCTATTCTCGTACCTCATATTGAAGCCATGACGCAAAAGAAACAAAATAAATCTATGTTATTGTTCTAATTACATCTACTCCGTACACTGTTGTCGATATCGACGGGATAGAGTCGGTTTGGTTACGTTTAACTTGGGAATCTCTAGAGCATTGCCAGTGGCTATATCCATACTGATTTTCTGAACCCTCCTAAACTCAGACTTCCCTCCCTTCCCACCACCCCCAATTCCTTGAGCTATGCCGATGAATACTTCGTACTTTCGCATAATGGCATCCGGCCAGTGTCCAGTCTCGTTCCAAATAGACATATTCACGGTGACATACTCTTGTACCAAGGGACATTTCATATTCCTATGAACGGGATCAGCGACGAACTCATGTCCTCGAGAAGAAACATTGGCCAAGCTAACAGAATTAGTTATGTCCACGTTCGTGGCACTCCGGCCACTAGAAAGTCTCTTCTAGCCAGTCTTCGGCATGCTATGGCATTATGAATGGTGTCATTATTTTCATTCTGAATATCTGACCGTCTCTTAAACAATATAATGGTATGGCCCCCTTGGTCAAGGCTCGCCACCATACTTGCAAGACTTTCCAGGTCGTCCGGGGCAAATAGATTTTCAAAAGGTGGTTCCTACTGTGGACGAGGTGCATTCTACTTATGGGCACCTATATTTAAGGAATAACATCCTACATGACCGCCGTTCTAATCTTGAACGTGCGTGGAATTTCTGTTTAGTCCGTCCCCATTGGTATCTGCAGAGTGGACCTGGTCTGGAATATCATGTACAACTTGGTTCTAAGGCGTCAACAGAGAGTAACGCCCACCTAGTAATTTAACCCGGGGTCTCCTAATATAGGTCTCTCGCACTGAGCTGGATCCGCTATGTATCGCCTCGCATAGCCGACTTTAGCTTGATAGGCACTGAGCAACACCTATTTTTAAGTTCAAAGGGCACAGAAAGATTCGTTTGAATGTATATCAAATACGTCCGTGCTAGGTCAGTCAACTCCAAGCTCGGGTCATCTTTTTTTCCGTGTTCTACAACGCGGATATATATATATATAGTGTAGAACTCCGCTAAGATGAACGTATGCTATAAGCGAGGGTAGTTGCACAGAAAAGCGACAGACGAGCCATACCGGGGAGCAGAAAATATCGTAATTTTCCCGCCCAATATTCATGCCAAGTTAGTTTCTTAGATGCGCTGAGAAATCTACTTGGCCAAGAGAACGAACCTTTAGACTCCCGAAGTCTCCAAAGATCCTCACAGGGCAATTGGGTAACTCCGCTGGTTTTCCTAGTCTAGTGCCTTACCTAGTTGGAATGAACAACAAGTACATTCAAAGTTGAGCAAACCTAGTGTGTATAAGACGTTGGCGTGATGATGGTCACTGATAATGGTGATACTTCAAACTGACTATTCCTATTATGGCTAGGTCACGGGATGGTATTCAAGCCGCCCGAAGACTCACAGATCGGAAAGTGGGCAGTATCTGTTCCATAATTCGAGCCCTCAATTTGCCTTTCACCACCTTCCCCTGTTCGCCCTTCGCCCGTGCTCCTGTGATTTACAAGTGCAGCCATGGCGTCCGACTTGACGAGCCCCATCCTGGACGCCCTGTCCGCGTCCGACGCACCTATTCTCTCCAGCCAAGCTTTCCCCTCCTACCCCTCATTGAATGTCAAGAGTGCGCTTGACCGTCTGGCTTCGCGACAGATGGTTGAATATGAAACAATTGAGCGCGAGGTTGCTGCACTGACTAAGGAGGGTGAGGATATCGCTGCCAATGGCAGTCATGAGGCCAAGGTCTTCCAAGCCGTGGTGGCTGCTATGGAAGGGTTGAAGATCGGCGACCTGCCCGGAATTGTTGGAAAGGAAAATGCCAAAGTTGGCCAGGGAAATGCTTTCAAGAGAGGCTGGATTAAGAAGGATGGACAACTACTGCGTGCCAACACTGACTCTATTGTTGACGAAACCCGCGAGCAGTTGTTGACGGTCAAGAAGACCCAGACCCTTGGGGACCAGAAGGCTCTTGGAGACCTGAAGCGCCGGAAGTTGGTCGCCTTCCAGAAGGAACTCAACTTCAAAATCTCCAAGGGTCCCAAGTTTGCTAAGGAGTTTGTCAAGGAGGAGACCGATCTTACCGCTGAGATGCTCATGAACGGCTCATGGAAGACCGCCCAATTAAAGCCCTACAACTTCAAGGCTAAGGGTGCTCCCACTTCTTCCGGTGCCTTCCACCCTCTCAACAAGGTGCGACAGGAGTTCCGTAATATCTTCTTTGAAATGGGCTTCGAGGAGATGCCTACCAACCGTTTCGTGGAGACCGGGTTCTGGAACTTCGATGCGCTCTTCGTGCCCCAGCAACATCCCGCTCGTGACCTTCAAGATACCTTCTACATCTCCGACCCCCCTACGGCAGACGCTCCTCGTGAGGATCCTGAGTTTGACCCTCACCGTCCGAAATCCGTCCAGCCCGCCTCCGCCGCAACCCAGGAAAAGCCCCTCGACTACAAGCAGTACTGGGATGATGTCCGTGAGGTCCACGAGAACGGCAAATACGGTTCTATCGGCTATCGCTATCCCTGGAGCGCAGACGAGTCGTTACGGCTGGTCCTCCGCACACACACAACGTCGGTCTCGACATATGTCCTTCACAAGCTCGCTGCCAACCCACGGCCCGCAAGATACTTCAGTATCGATCGAGTCTTCCGTAACGAGGCTGTCGATGCTACTCATTTGGCTGAATTCCATCAGATCGAGGGTGTCATTGCTGATTTCGGTCTTACGCTGGGTGGCCTGATCGGCTTCATGGAAGTCTTCTTCGCCAAGATGGGCATCCACCAACTGCGTTTCAAGCCTGCCTACAACCCTTACACCGAGCCTAGTATGGAGATCTTCGGATATCACGAGGGTCTGGGCAAATGGGTGGAGATTGGTAATAGCGGTATGTTCCGTCCGGAGATGTTGGAGCCTATGGGTCTGCCCAAGGATATGAGAGTTTATGGATGGGGTCTGAGTCTCGAAAGACCTACTATGATCAAGTAAGTGACTTATGCAAATACATCAACGAAGGAAACGCTAACAGACCTCACAGATATGGCGTCAGTAACATTCGAGAACTTCTTGGTCATAAGGTTGACCTCAACTTCATCGAGACCAATCCGGCCGTTAGACTGGAGAAGGACTAGACGATTCTATAGAGATGGATGGATTTATTTTTCTTTTAAAAAACCCCAAGTTTCGGATCGTATAAATGATATCACCTGCTTAGAGCTATCAAAAAAGAATTATGATGTGCATTGAATTGAGATACGTGATAATGGGCCCTTGAGGTATTCTAAGTAGAAGTAAAAATCCACATGAGTGTTTTCTTAATTCTGCTACGCTATGTCAACAATCTACCGGTAAGTTTGCTATGTTCCACCCGTATCTGTGCCCCAGCGCACGGCTCTGCAACAGTGGCTCTTCAGAAGGCGGGAGTGATATTCGGCGGATGGATATTACTGTCTACCTCCTCGCTCATGGTGGCCAGATGTATGTTTTGCACATTCAATCTGTGAATGAGGAGGCCTTGATGTGCCGATGGGACGCGAAATAAGAGAGAAAAGAGAAACGACTAAGAAATTACAGAACAGGCTGTACCTCACCGCCATGGCAGCGAACTGGCAATAAAGTAACAACGAAAAAGAATAAGAGGGAAAAAAAATGGAATTGGATGGACCGATTTTGATTGATTGACTGATCTGTTGTATGAAATATCTTCATTCATTTATCTTAAATCATATCCGATACACCCCTGGAAAGTGGTATATACCGGCCTGCAGTAGAGAGAAAGAAAGAATTTCCATTAGCCTCAACAAAATCTCAAAACCTTGGGTGATGTAGAAGATATATCTTACCATCGACCAAATCACAACGCACACCTTATTCCAATCGAAGTCCAATTTACCGCTGGCGGGAGGCGGTCCAGACGTTACGGATGTATCCGTCACGCTGGGCGAGGCGGTTCAGGGAGTCATCGCTCTCACCGCGGGCACGGATGAAACCGCAGAGAGCGTAGGTGTGGTTCTCACCGGTGTAGCGGCCGTTCTCGTCAACCTTGCCGATGGAGATCTGGACGGAGGCGTGGTCGTTGGCCTTGATGATGCGGTTGGTGGCGCTGCACTTGCGAGGCACGTAGCTGTGTGAGAACGATCATGTTAGTTAACACCATCTTGGATTCGTATTTTGAGTATAGACTAGGTTGATTTGGTAATTGGGGGTTTCGGATAAGATTTAGAGGATAAGAATATGGCTGCGCTTCAGATCAGAGAGAGGGCGAATCGCAGGGGCTGCGACAAGGCTGATTTTTCTTTTTTTCTTTTTTTTTGACCGGCGTTCCATTCCACCAAATTTCGCAGTCATATTCCTTTCTCTTTGCTCTCGTCCGCAATGTTATCCCCAACACCAAGAACAAAAACCAGATCACAAATTGGGTGGATGTAGGGACATTGCAACGTACAGATCGACAATCTCTCCCTTTTCGTTCTCCATTTTGGCGGTTAGTTAGTCTGGTTGACGACGGTGGAAAATTGGAGGTGCGCTGGCGGGTTGAACGGTCGTGAAAATCCGCGACTCTTTCGGGCGTTTCCTTAGTCGACAGTTGTGTGGGTCATGTGATTTTTTGTCGAGGGTTGAAGAGTGTGTGTGGCGCTGGGTGGGTGGCTGGTGGGTCCTTGTGGCTGTAGGGTTACTTAATTGGGTGTTGGTTTGTACTTGACTGTGATCGGTAATTTACTGCCATCTTTAGTATGTACATATGACATGCAGATATTCAATCACAGATTGCTATTCTCCTTTGCTTCGGATAAGACGTCTTTCTTCCATCGCACTCCCACTTGCTGAGCTGTTCCCTTTGTGAATTTCACTAGTACAACCCTGTCAGGCTCGCCCTGTCTATCCGTTCCTTTCAGTTCTGGCCCGGGGTGATCTAACGCTAGAACTGTCCGTCCATCGGATGCAACTTTGAGCATCTTGGGAGATATGCACTTCTGAGTCCATGGAGGACTGCCCGTATGTACGAAATTCACCAGCTCGGTTCGTCGTCTTCTCAACTCGTCTACGGAATCGGGTACTCGAGGCTGTTGGTCTAGGAATTGTGACACGAGATGTAACAAGAGATATTGCGGCGGGAACATAACGACTTCACCAGAGCTAGCCATCCGGAGCCATTCAGAAGCAGGGAGGAACCTGGCCTCAGTAATTTCAACACCGCCATCGCTCGAAGGAACCTGGATTTCTTCCCGCTCTCCTTCGGCGGGAATTTCGCTGAGGAGCGAATTCTCCGACTTAAGAGGCAAAGGCAAGAAGTACAAATACATCTGCGTCGAGTATCGCTTGGGTACATTTGTAGGAGTAATCCAGCGTGTAAAAGGAATCAATTGTTCTTCACCGAGTTTCGTTAGCAGGGGTAAGGTCTATGCGACAGGGATTGGATCTGGTTGGCGCTCGAACCTGTGTCTGGAACCGCGGCAGGATTCTGTTGCTTTAACCACTCGGCGAAAGTCACTTCATTGCGATGGATTCTCCGTCTTCCCTCTTCCCTCTTCCGTTCCGAGACTACTAACATCTCTCCTGAGCTCTGATCCTTAGCGAGGAGTATGCCGCTTTCTTCAAAGAGCTCTCGAAGAGCGGCATTCCTATACCACAAGGCATCGTCGTGCCTTTTTGGATCTTCGACTGGTGGACACTGTCCATCCTGGTCAGATAGGTTGCCTCCTGGAAAGACATGAGCCGAGGCAAATGACGTAGATGTTTTGACACGATGAAGCAAAAGTACTTCATTTTTAGGTGAAATGAGTACAACACTAGGATTTGTTAACTATCGATTCTGGTAGAGTCATGATTACTTATAAGGTATACGTGGTTTATAGATGCCATGGGTCTTCTATCGTGAATCAATCAAGTGAGGGCAAGTCCGGCTAACTAACCTTGAACTTGGCCGCGGGACTGACGGTTTCGGTTTCGGCTTAGGACTACCCTTCTCCGATGTCATCCTTGCAGAGGTAGCAGTGTTTTGTGTTGTTGCAATTGAAGAATTGTGTTTTGCCCAATGCTGGTCAAGATAACAATAACTTGCAGGGTGGTGTTGTATAATCAGTGAAGGACGTCTAGCAAAGGTTAATCGGCGGAGACATTTGTGTATTAACCGGGGCATTGACACATGGGGTGCAGTCATGGCTAAAGCAGCCGAGGTGCACCGGATGAGATTTGTTGATGAACGGATGATTGAGACTAAATACTTCGTACCTTTACTTGGGCTGAAGGGGAAGGTCACTGAACCTTTGGAACATAGGCTCATTTGGGCGGTATAAATTACCGTTGCTTACCCCGCGCTTAACGCTGCCGCTTCAGGCCTAGACAGTACTACTAATGCGGCCTACATCCTAAGACATGAACTACAACTACTAGACTTTTAACACATTCAAAGCATTATGTAAATGATTCATAAACATGGAGCACGGAATAGTCCATTTCAAAATGAATTGGCCAATGAATATCTTGAATAACAAGAAAGCAAATATCTGTATATCCACGCGTCAAACTCCAAAACCTCATACCCATACTTTTTCCATTTCATTTTTATTCTCATGCAAGCCATGTGTCATCGTGTGAATATATCCTAAATTTCAGGAAAAGCTCATAATGAAAACATTAGACGTGCGCCATCGCTACTTAAGAGTAGAGCTTCTTGTCGTAGCTGTGCAGACCGTGGACGTTACCCTCAGCCATGGCACTAGCGCTTCTCATTTCGAAACGGACGGTGCCGTTGTTAACACCCTCGTGAAGAAGTTCAAGACTCTTCACGCCAATGTCCTGCAGAGAGTGCTGCACACCGGCAACAAGGTAGGGGACGAACTTGGTGACGGAGCCACGGTCGAGGACAGAGCCCGCAACACCCTGAGCGACCAGGACGCTGTCCTTCTCAGAGAAGTACCGAGCAGTACCGGCATTACTAGCTTTGCTGTCCTTGGCACCGGCGCCAGCCTTCCTGTCCTCCATGGCGGCAATACTGCCCATACCACGGTAGGCCTTGACAAGCTGTCCCTCGTTGCTGACAAAGTACTCACCGGGAGATTCGGTGGTACCGGCAAGGAGACCGCCCATCATAACGGTCGAGGCACCCATGGCAAGACCCTTGACGATATGACCAACGTTCTGAACACCGCCGTCAGCGATGCAAGGAACACCGAAGCGGGCAGCGAAAGCAGAAACGCTGCGGACAGAGAGAGCCTGGGGACGACCGACAGCCATGACCTCCTGGGTAATGCAAGCACTGCCGCTGCCCATGCCAATTCTCAGGCCATCGGCACCGGCTGCAATCAAAGGTGCAGCTTGCTCCCGGGTTACGACGTTACCAGCAATAACATCTATGTCAGGGTGGGTCTTCTTGATGTACTTGATCATCTCGATCTGGTACATGCTGTTGCCCTGACTGCTGTCGAGAACAACAATGTCAAGGCCGGCGTCAGCAAGCAGCTTAAGTCTGCGCTTATCTTCTTCACGGGTGCCGATAGCAGCAGCGCAAATAAGCTGCTTGGACTGAGGGAGCTTTGAGGCCAGAGGGTAGTGAAGGTTCTTCATCAAATCGCTACGAGACAGCAACGAGACCAGGTTACCATCCCTATCCACGATTGGGAGCTTTCCTTTCTTCGAAGAACGAAGGACTTCGTTGGCCTCAGCCAAAGTAGTGCCAGCAGGGGCGGTGACGAGGTCAGTCGACATGATAGCAGTGACCGGGTCATCGAGGTTTGGGTGGAATTGGATGTCCCGGGAGGTGACCATTCCAACAAGCTTGGACCGGAGCGTTCCGTTTGCTGTGGGCACATAATAGTTAGAACGTGCACAAATTCACGATAAATGGCATGACAATGATTCAAATTGGAGATCAGATAAATCTGTTTCTCTACAATGCAACTCTCGTTGCTCCAGTGGAACGAAAGTTATAAATAAGAAAGAGGGAAATCATCACAAAAGATTTGGCTAGGGCGGGTGAACATAGCGAAAAGAAAAGGGAATGCTTACCAGTAACAGGGAAGCCACCGAAGCCCCATCTGGTCTTCAGCTCCTTAGCTTCTCCGACAGTAGCCGTAGGAGAAAGTACAACGGGGTCCAGAATGAAGCCGTTCTCATAACGCTTCACCTTCTTCACCATCTCCGCCTGGTCCTCGGGAGAGCAGTTGTGGTGGATTATACCTAGACCACCCAGGAGAGCCATGTGGATAGCCATGTTGTGTTCTGTGACGGTATCCATAGGGGAGGAGAGGAGAGGGGCCTTTAAGGAGATACGCTTGGTGACCGCGGTATCCAAAGAGACATCCGAAGCAGGAAAGCCTGTCATAGACATGAATAACTAGAAGTCACGGACGGTTCAGCAATCGTCCCTTACCGATATAACCAGGCAAGATCAGGAAGTCATTGTAAGTCAATGCTCCGTGCTTGTCCGAATCGAGCAAGGTGTCAATATCAAGGCCATCTCTGGAGGAATATTCCTTCTCCAGAATTTCGAGAGCCTTGGTGTGGTCCTGGATCTCGGCCTTCATGGCGCGGCCCAGGGAATCACCGTTGGAGATAGGCATTTTGAAAGAAATAAATCCCTACGGTGATGATAACTCGTAGAGATCAAATGGAGAGAAATGATAATCAACAGATCGTGAGAAACGTTCTGTTGATGGAGAAAGTCTTCCTTTCCCAAGGAAAGAAAGAAGAAAAAAAGAAGAAAAACTGGAGGAGCAAAATTTTGGCTTTTGTATCTCTTGCCGCACAAGCTAACGATACCTGCAAAACCATTCCGGAACAGGCTTAGTGACAGTTCCGGACCCCTCCTGTACCACACTCATTGGCTGGTAAACGAAATTTCTTTCAGGGCGGTGAGAAGAGGGGTGACATTAGACCTGCTGAGGTAAGCGTCGTGACTGACGAGAATTTTCTTACTATTGTCCGAGAACGGTATAGCCCAAAGATGAACATAAGGTAGCACACAGTAAGAACTAAGTACAGATAAATTGATTTGCAAGCCAATGTGTGCTTTCAGTAATTAACATTAGCGCTGTACTTACTGTATTTGAGAGACAACGAATGGCATTCACATCCATCGCCCTTAGCAAGGTACATGTACATACTCGTGGAATGTGTACTATATACCTTAAACAATTTATTTTAGCTGTTGGTACCTGGAATAATATATGTGTAACTATTTATTTCCCTTTCTCCTTATTTTCTTTTCACTTTTATTTCAAATAAAATAGAAAATGAGTTACAATTATCTTTAGTCTAGTCATGTTTCACATCCATGGGTTATTAAGGTAAAAATGAGAAGAAACTTAAAAAGAAATTAATATTTTGAACCCAGCTACACACCAGTACTTCACTACTCTTGAACCCTTTGGGTTAAAACACACACACATATATTATACACTCTTTAACTATGTGGAACAATGTATTTAATTATTTCTAAAGTTGTAGAACATTTCATACAATCTGGTTATTGCAACATTATGACGCCAGAGTGACCGCAACCAGCGATGGGCATGCTATAAATATCTCGCATACTAAATGCAACACTTCTCTTAACATGTTAAACATATGGTAATTTATTTGGCCTATCTCTTAATAATACGATTTACTACCTTAATATACCATTTCCTAAAAACCATGGCGTCTGCAATGGGCAAAGAAGGGACTTTCTACGCTCCGCAGGAGCCGCAGGCCCAACAGAAGCCAGGGTTAGTTGCACAATTCGTTTCCTGTATGATAAACCAAAGATAATTACGAAGCTAAAGGTACATATAAGGTTGGAGAAACACATGGTGCCGCCAAGTGAAGCGACCAAGTTGGAGTCAAATGGAACTTTCGTCGAGTACGTGGGCTCTGGTAAACTGAAGGACAAGAAAGTCCTCATCACCGGCGGAGAGTACGGTCTACCTTGTATGAAGCATTCCTGTCACAGGAGGATACTAATAGCAGTTTAGCTCGGGAATAGGACGGTCGGTTGCCGTTCTGATGGCGAGAGAGGGAGCGGATGTCACCATCTCATATCTGCCTGAAGAGCAAGAGGATGCTGAAGAAACAAAAAGATTAGTTGAGGCCGAGAAACGAACATGTTTCCTCTATCCAGGTGATCTATCTATCCGGGAGACATGTCGCAAAGTCGTTGAGGAGCATATCAAGAAGTATGTCTCTCTTCTATCGAAGAACGTCTCTAAAATACGGTCCTAAGGATCACCGCTGCTATTAGCATTGTAAGTCTAACTTTTGCACTTGACAGGTTTCAGGGATTGAACGTTCTGGTCAACAATGCTTCGAAGCAGTTTATATGCAAGGACCTTGCTCAAATTGATCTGGATCATGTGGAAGAGATATTCCAAACCAACGTGATCCAAATGATCGCCTTATCAAAATTCGCTCTGCCGCATATGACACGAGGAGACTCGTAAGTATACCGGACGTCTGTACTATGTTTTTCTTAGGCTCATCGAATCCTGTCAGAATCATCAACACTACTTCCACCGTAGCATTTAGAGGCACAGCTGGAATGGTCGATTATGCAGCCACGAAAGGGGCTATTGTTGGATTCACCAGAGCGCTAGCAAAGCAACTGGTGCCGAAGGGTATTCGAGTCAACGCTGTAGCGTAAGCTGTGCAACCTTCGTAGCCACCTCTCCAGGGCGAAAGAATCTCACATGTCTCTTTTCATAGGCCTGGCCCCGTCTATACGCCCATTCAAGTCGATACAAGAAAGCCAGAGGAGATGGAGAGCTGGGGTGCTGGGTCATCTATTGGCCGGCCTGGCCAGCCAAGTGAAGTTGCAACCAGCTTCGTCTTCCTAGCGAGCGCAGACGCTTCTCTTTATTGTAAGTCTAATCATTCTTTCTCAAGATAAAACTGTTTGTGCTATGCTGAGACGCTCGCTTGCCGACACAGATGGTCAAACTTTGCACTGCTATCCATTGGGTGACTAGAACATGCCTATGAATGGTTTGGTAAAAGTGAGCTTCATGCCTTCAAATGTTTGTGATTAAATTTTGTTTCCAATATGTACTTCGTGTGTACAACGTAACATATTGCCATAGTACTCAGATGAAACAATGGAAAAGCCCATCCATTCCTGCAATATTCAATATTAAAATAGTAGCTTGACCGAGGCTCCTAATATACAAGCCAGGGCGTCGCTTGTGAGAGAGCATTATCCCACCCATTGTCGTTGACCCAAATGGCGATGCTCTCCACCTCCTCCTTCCCCAACTTGAGGTCGTTGTATAAATGCTATGATCGGAGTCAATATATAATTTTCCGCCAGAGGGGGTAAGTAAGCAATCTTTACAGCTGAACTTACCGGAAACAGCCCCTCCTTAGGTCGCGGCCCGCATACGGTGCCCTCGGGATTTTCCCATTGAAGATTCTCAGCTACGCGCTTGAACGGAATCCGTAGCACATAAACAAGAGGCTCATCTTTGAAGAAGAACTTGAGCGTGTTTGGCACCTGAAATGCGGTGGAGAGATGAATAAAACCCGATTTTTGATCGAGCTCACTGACGGGGAGTCGCTCCGGAAGAGGTTCTCGGACGGGCGCCGATGAAGGCACGAGTTTATAGATATAGAGAGGCTCTTTGTCCGTCATATTTCCGGTTGTCTGTTGAGTTGTGAGACTAGTTCGAATGGTGATCGATGGGTTTTTCAACTGGCCTTCACCCCTACAAGGTAAATGATGGGTCAGAGTCGTCGATATAAAATGATAAGGTCGGCGGGTGAGGTTCGTAGTGGAACCGCCGTGATTTAAGTCTTACCTAAGTGGGTAATGATTAGTTAGTTAGTTAACTCACCACTACCAAGGTTCGACTGCAGAGTTTATGAACCACATTAACAGACGACAGCATGCGAAAGCTATCTATGTAACTTTTCCATAGAGGTTGGAAAACGCGGGAAGAATAATTCAACTTATGAGTTGGGCCCCTGTAACATGGGCAACCAACCCATCCTTTAATTTCACACTGACTTGCTCGGAAACTCCAGAACCCTGCTGATTTAACAAGATTCTGACCTAAAAGGTTGGTATATACTATTATCAAGTTGTTCTTGGAGTGCAGTTTGGCTTTATCCAGCAAGTTTGACGTTCAGATAACCGTACACCACAACCGACCTTGATCAATATATTGTGATGAACAGGCAGCTCGATGTGTTTCAAGATACAAGAGAGTGATAGAGATATATCTAGATAGAGAAAGCATGGGCTGAGTTATAATCTGGCATGTGATGAGTCTTGCCCACGTTCTTCCTGCATGGAGAGAAATATGCCGAGTGTGGGTCAATGATGGTCTGGTTAGAAAGCGTGGCATGACTACAAACTCGCATGTATAGAGCTTTCTGCAAAGGGAAAGCTAGCTAGCATTTGATTAGTGACAAGAAATTGAATGTACCTGGTAAAGAAATCTACATAACCAAGCTAAATCTAGCTTCCACTTGAGCATCTGTGCCAATCCTTCTTGTCTTTCCAGTACCTGAAGGGCCAGGCAGCGGCACGTGAACCCATCGGTGGCTGGGATGATCGACGTCACCAGATAGGAAACTGTGGCGCATCGTAACACCCTGGACCGCCCACCATACCCGATCGGGAGATTTGTTTTCGTTCGCCTGGGGCTGGGGGCCTTGATTTACTAAGTACTTACTAGTAGTACTTTCCCTCCCTCCCCCGCTTCTCTCACTCAATCTTCATCAATTTAATCGTTGCATCGAAGGAGTGTGAAAGTCGTGGTCTTGCTTGCGTTTATTGCATCTGTAATTTTCAATCCCACTATTAATCTCTTTGGTGTTTACTTTCTTTCTTGAAGGTACTCCCTGGATCCTTCTTTTTCTCTTTCTTTTCCTTTTCCGTTTCTTGGTTTTGTCTGACTGCCTTCCAATCAGGTATTCCCGGGAAACCCGTTTCTATATCAACCCGATTCTCCTTCCTAATTCTTTCCGTTACCCCAGGGCAATGCTGTGCCTCCCTTGAATCAGCATTCCATCACTCAACTCACCAGCGGATTACTGCTTCGGTTAAGAAGCAGGTATGCGGCCAATTGAAGTCAAGACTGCTCTATTTTCTTTAGTATTCGCATTCTTCTGTACGAAGCGGACCTAGTGATGTCAAGCCATTCATCTCTCCGACGCATTCAGACGGATTTCCCAGCCCAAACATCGAGTCCACTCCGCCATGGCTCGACCGCATCCACAAATTCGTCTATCTACTCAATGTCGACCAACTCATTAGCTCCCAGTCGCACGAGCACCGTGTCTTCCACTGGATCCGTGGGCCCCACCTCCAGCATTAGCCATAAGCGAGGAAAGAGTGAAATAAACACCATGAGCGCTGACAAATTGAAGTCTGATCCGAGTTGCTGGCCAAACGCGGGAACAACGTATGAGAGCGTTCGACGGTCATTGCGACCTCTCTCACAAGCGCCCAATGCTTCTCCTCCCGCTGTTAAGCAAGTGACCTACGGCCATGCGAGGAGCCGGACGATAGATAATCCTCAATACTGGAAGGAGAACCGTCCTCAAACACCCGAGCGCCGGAACGGGTATCATGCAGACTTCGGACCATTGAAGGAGAAGGACTCGCAAGATGCGTTTGCACCTCCATCACCCAATTCGCCTCAAAATTTCAATTCTCATGCTGTTTCACCTCAAACGCGGCCCCAGAGCAGGGCGCATCATTCGCATAGCTTGTCCACCCCACAGGCACCTCCATTGACCACCACACTTTCCACTCCTGAGTTGGAGACCTTTCAAAAATCATCGACTGGACATCTGCGCACATTGTCTAAATTTGCGCAATCAGGTGAAACAGAGGAGTTCACCATGGTCAGCCCCTCTGTAGTAGGCCTGCAGGGGCGACGACGATTGAAGCGTGCTGATACAATGGCGGGTACCGGCGACATCAATGTTAGCCGAAGAAAAAACGCATCGTCGTGGGCAGCCGGCAATTGGATGGACAAGCAACGGCAGTTCTTGCAAGCTTATGAATATCTGTGCCATATTGGAGAAGCCAAAGAATGGATTGAAGAAATCATCCACAAACAAATTCCGCCAATCGTTCAACTAGAAGAAGCTCTCCGAGATGGTGTCACGCTCGCAGAGGTGGTCCAGGCAATGTATCCAAATCGCACACTTCGAATTTTCAGAAACCACAAGCTTCAGTATCGGCATTCAGATAATATAGCCTTGTTCTTCCGATTTCTAGATGAAGTTGAACTACCGGAGCTTTTCAGGTTCGAACTAATAGACCTGTATGAAAAGAAGAACATCCCCAAGGTCATTCACTGTGTTCACGCACTATCATGGCTGCTGTTCAAAAAGGGCCTCGTCGACTTTCGGATGGGCAACCTCGTTGGTCAGCTGGAGTTCGAGCACCATGAGCTTGAACAGACACAAAAAGGGCTTGACAAGGCGGGGGTCAGCATGCCTAGTTTCACGGGCATGGCCGCGAATTTTGGCGCAGAGCCAGAACCTGAGCCCGAGCCCGAGCCTGAATCTGAGGAGGATCGAATTGAGCGAGAGCTACATGAAAATGAAGCTTTGATCGCCGAATTCCAAGCTCAGATCAAAGGCGCCATGATGCGACTGAAGCTGGGAAACCTGATGAATGACCTGTGGGATTCTGAGCATTTCCTAATCGATCTGCAATCGAGAATACGTGGAGACTGGGCCCGTCAGATTGTCCAATATCGCTTGGACATGCGAGCGTTCGCAGTAAATCTACAAGCAATCTGCCGAGGTTTCATTGTGCGATCTCGCCAGAAGGGTGACATGGAAACTTACCAGGCCCAGGAACACGGTATTTTGCAGATCCAGACACTGATAAGAGCCTCCAAGGCGAGAGCGCAAGTGAACTATCTTAGGAGCAAAATGAGGAAAGAAGAATCAGGTATTAAAGAGATACAGGCCGCCATAAGGGGTGCCTTGCAACGTAAGGTTATCAGTACTCTATATTACGATACAAGGGAAGCAGATGATCAAGTTCAACTGTTACAGGCTGCCATCAGAGGCGCCTTGCAACGAAAGGTCGTCGGCGCTCTCTATTGCGATTTAATGGATGCGGAGGATCAGGTTCGACTGTTACAGGCTGCCTTCCGGGGTGCGCTACAACGGAGCAAAGTTTCCAAGCAATGCGAAGAGACCCGATCTGCTGAAGATAACATCAGAGAACTCCAGTCCCTCATTCGAGGCTCATTCATCCGACAGCAAATGAATGCTCAATATACCGAGATCAACAATTTCCGAGGAAATACGGATTTGCTGCAGGCAGCGATTCGAGGCTTGCAGACTCGCAAATCTATAGCTCAAGTGAAAGATATGCTTGCTCAACAAACCCCTTCAATTATAGCAATCCAATCAGGAGCAAGAGCTTTGGCGGTCAGAAACCACCTGTCATGGCTTGCAGAAGCCCTTGGAGGGGCAGATGATCAACATGTCGCTCTACAAGCTATGATTCGTGGTAACGTCGCGAGGAATGAGCTCGAGTCTCTTCGTGAGGCATTGACGGAGCGCGTACCAATATTTATCAGTCTTCAGAGCATACTCCGAGCGAGAGCTGTTCGGTCCTTCTTGAGCTCTCAAGAAAAATCTCTCAGGAATGAGGAAGCATCGATTCTCGAATTGCAATCAATGGCAAGGGGTTCCCTGACTAGGACGTGCTTGGAAGTTGATGCTGAGGCACTGCAAGCAGAGGAACTAACAATCATTGATCTGCAGGCCCTCGCTCGAGCTGCAGTGCTGAGGATTGAAGTTGGTGGTATACTCGAGGAGCTCGATGAGTGTGAAGATGAAGTCAGTCGGCTACAAGCGCACATCCGAGCCATGCTTGTCCGTGTAGATGTCGGACAAACCTTAGCCGATCTTGCTGCTGAGGAGGACGTCATTACTGATCTCCAGTCACACATACGGGGATATATCGTACGATCAAAATTCGAGGAGAAGCGTCGATACTACCGGCAGAACATGGACAAAGTCATCAAAGCCCAGAGTTTCGTGCGGGGTAGGATTCAGGGCCAGGCATACAAGAGCCTCACAAGTGGAAAGAATCCTCCAGTTGGAACAGTTAAAGGGTTCGTCCATCTGCTCAACGATAGCGAGTTCGATTTCGACGAAGAAATTGAGTTCGAGCGGACAAGAAAACTAGTTGTTCAGCAAGTTCGTCAAAACGAGCTTGCAGAACAATATATCAGCCAGCTTGATATTAAGATTGCTCTCTTGGTGAAAAACAAGATTACACTGGACGAAGTTGTGAAGCACCAGAAGCACTTCGGTGGCCATGTTGGAAGCCTGTTGCCGAACAGGGAAATTTCTTCGAAGGACCCCTTCGATCTAAAAGCCTTGAACAAAACCTCGAGGAGGAAGCTCGAGCAGTATCAAGTCTTCTTCTTCCTTCTCCAGACGCAGTCTCAGTACCTTTCCAAGCTTTTCCGAAGGCTACGTGAACTCAATACATCGGAGAAGGAGTATGAGAGGATTCGGCACCTGATGATGGGGCTGTTCGGGTACTCTCAAAAGAGGCGCGAAGAGTACTACCTAATTAAGCTGTTGGCTCGCTCTGCACGGGAAGAAATTGAGAGTTTTGACTCCCTCCACGATTATTTACGCTGCAATTCTTTCTGGACCAAGCTCTTCGCCTCTTACATGAAGTCTCCCCGTGACAGAAAGTTCATGCGCGACGTATTGGGTACTGTTGTAAAAGACAATGTCATTGACAGCCCAGACCTAGATTTGGAAAGTGACCCCATACAGATCTATCGCTCAGCCGTTAACAACGAAGAGCTCCGCACTGGTAAACGAAGCCGTCGGCGTTTGGACATCCCGCGCGAAGAAGCGATCAGAGACCCCGAAACAAGAGCAACTTTCATCCAACATCTCCAGGATCTCCGTGACATCGCTGATCAGTTCTTCGCGGCGTTTGAGGAACTTCTATACCGAATGCCGTTTGGAATTCGGTATATCGCGAAGGAGATGTACGAATGTCTCCTTTCCCGGTTTGCTGGAGATGATCCAGGATTTATTCTACAAACAGCCGGGCATTGGGTGTGGAAGAATTACTTCCAGCCTGCGCTTATTGAACCCGAAAAGCATGGAGTTGTTGATCGAGGGTTAACCCAGGAACAGAAGCGAAACCTTTCGGAGATCGCGAAAGTGATTTCTCAAGTGGCATCTGGAAGACTTTTTGGGGCTGAAAATGTTTACCTTCAGCCGTTGAACAGCTACATCGGAGATTCGATCCAACGCCTTGGCCATATTTGGGGCAGCAGTGAGTAGCACTGTTTTCCGCCACGGTGTGTTATGGAAACTAACCTCTTTGCAGTGATCTCCGTACAAGATGCTGAAGCGTATTTTGATATCGATGAATTCAATGATCTCTACGCTAAAACGAAACCAACACTGTACATCAAGTTATCTGATATCTTCTCCATTCATCAACTTGTGGCATCGGAAATTCATTATATCTGTGCGAACCCAGATGACATTCTCAAGGAGGTCATTCGTGACCTTGGCAATGTCAAATCCAACGAAAATGAACTGATGAGCGTAAATTCCTCTGAAATCAGCCTCACTCTGAATCCCAAGCTTGCACAAGTTGAAGGTAGGAAATAACATTCGTCCATTCCCTAAAACTGGCACTAACGAGTCATGTGTAGATCCGGAAGCTGATGTGAAGGCGTTGTTCATGGAAACAAAACGATGCATCCTTTATATCATTCGCGTTCAGTCAGGCGCTAACCTGATGGAGATCATGGTCAAGCCCCCGACTGAGGAGGACGAAGAAAAGTGGATGACTTTGGTTCGGGACGAGTTGAGCGCCAATAATACGAGACGAAGCGCGTACTCCGAGGCAAACACATTGGTGGATATTGCGTCCATGTCTTATTCGGAGCTGAAGCGGACTGCACTTGAAAATATTATTCGGCTTGAGCTTACTGGGAAGATCCGCCGTGACAATCACTACCAGGATCTTCTCAATGCCATTGCCATCGATATTCGAACCAAGCACCGTCGCAGGATTCAGCGAGAGAGAGAACTAGAGAGTGCTCGTTCAACATTGGCCCGTCTCAATGACCAGGCCGCCTGGTTGGAGCAGCAGTTCAAGACATACAACGATTACATTGAGCAGGCAATGGTGACATTGCAGAACAAGAAAGGCAAGAAGAGGTTTCTCATGCCATTTACGAAGCAGTGGGATCACCAGCGCGAGCTTCAGAAATCTGGGAAGGTGTTCAAGTTTGGTTCCTACAAATACTCGGCTCGCAACCTAGCAGACAAGGGCGTCTTAGTCCACTGGAAGGGCTACAACGAACGTCAATGGGATCGGGTCGACCTGACGATTTCCAGCAATGAAGTCGGCGTGTTTACTATTGATGGCAGCAGTGGTCCAATGATGGTACCTGGAGCCAATGCACAGGTGCCGTTGGATGACTTGCTGCAGGCACAATTCAACAATATGCAGTTCTTGGACTTCTTCGACGGACATTTACGAGTCAATGTCAACCTTTTCCTGCATTTGATCATGAGGAAGTTCTATAACGAATGATGCTCCAGCGCGATAGGACTCCTCTCCCTTCTCTTCTCTTCTCTTTTCTTCACTCTTCTTCTCCATACCCCATTTTTCTTTCCTACTCTCCTAGTTTCATCTATGATATCCCTTTCCTATTTATGATATGCCACGCATGAAAAGAAAAGACATATCCGGCATGACGTATATAGACAGCGCACCATGCAGGATTCCAAGCCAATGGTCTCTGAGTTATGTTATTCCTTTGATGACAACCTGTTATTTGTTGTTGTTGCTGTTGTTATCTGAGATGATTACCCCATGTTATGATGATTATGCGGACGATTTTATGTATGTATTTGAGTAGTGTTTAGTACATGACGATATGTATGTTCTTTCTCTTTTTCTTTTCTTTTTTGAATGCAACGCGCAGTCAGTAAGGTGTAATTCAGTTAATTAAACTGTAACGTTATATTCTTTTCCAAAGATGCTTCAGGGGTTGCCACGTGACCGGGCGCTTGACTTGGAGCCCAACGGCCAAGTGGATTGATTGAGATTCCTTGACCTCCCGCATCATTGAATCCAAACCCTTCCACGAATTCCCCTTCTCTTGCCTGCTCGTTTACTTGTTCAGATTAACAGTGCGTGATATCCGATCGCGTCATGGACCTATCCAATCTTAAGGAGCAGGTCAGCAACTTGACTTTGTATGATCTCAAGGCGGGAGTCCGCAAGGTCCAAAATGGTACGTCCCGCATCATGCTCCCCGACTTGGGTGTTGTACTTATCACCCATTGCCGCTTGATATACTAAAACAGTAACCATGCTAACGGTCATAGCTGTCATGAATTATACTGAAATGGAGGCCAAGGTATGTGGCACATCTCCGAAGTTCCGTCCCTTCGCCAACGCTCCTTAATACATCTATACATCTATACGTACAGAATGACGTTCGGCGGCAGTCGCTTATATCCAACAGGTCCGAGAAGCTACAAATAATGAGCCTTGGGGTGCCTCGACCACATTGATGCAAGAGATTGCCAACGGAACCCATAGCTAGTTAGTTATCCACCTATTTATGACACAGCCGATTGCTAACCAGTATGCTGGATGATGCAGTCAATTACTCAACGAAATCATGCCCCTGATCTATAGACGATTTACAGACAAGACCGCAGAGGAGTGGCGACAGATCTACAAGGTAGGACTTACCGGAGCCCTTTAGATTTTTACAGGCTAGGTCTGATGTCGTATTCCTTGGACTATGTGCAGTCGCTTCAGCTTTTAGAGTTTTTGATCAAGAACGGATCCGAACGAGTGGTTGATGATGCCCGGTCTCACATGTCCCTTATCCGAATGCTCCGCCAATTCCACTTTATTGATCAGAACGGGAAAGATCAAGGTATCAATGTGCGCAACCGAGCGTCGGAGTTGGTGAAGCTTCTTGGTGATGTGGATCAGATTCGTGCGGAAAGAAAGAAGGCCAGAACCAATCGTAATAAGTTTGGTGGATTTGAGGGTGGCTCGCATATTGGAGGAGGAGGGGGAATGTCAAATTCAAGGTACGGTGGCTTCGGAAGTGACAGCATGTCGTTCGGCGGATACAGCGGGGGTATCTATGGCGATGGAGGTGGTTTCGGAGGCAACACAACCGACTACCAAGATACTGGACGGCGGGGCAATCGTTTCGAGGAGTACGATGAGTATGACGAAGCAGATGCCAGTCCGCCGCGGCGACGTGCAGCAAGTCCGCCTCGTGCTCGCTTGTCAAAGCCGGAACCGAAACCAAAAGCACCCGAGCCGGACCTTTTTGACTTTGGAGACGAAGACGTTGCTTCCACAACCTCTACCAGTGCCGGCAAGAAGCCAGCAGGTAGTAATGACTTGGATGTGCTCGATTCTAAACCCATCGATGACGATGACTTTGATGATTTCCAGTCCGCGACTCCCGCTCCCGCCACAGCGCCAGCGGTATCTAACCATTTCGCCATTTCACCGCCAGCAAATACTGTGAGCACCACTTCAAGCACGCAATTTGCTGCGCCGAGGCCGGTGTCTGGCACTCAAGGCACAAACTTAAACGGTCTCGTTGGGTTTACATCGATGACCCCGACTCCGACTTCGAGCACCATGGCATCTCCGACACTGTCGCAGAGCTCTATGGTTCAGCAACAGCAACAGAAGTCATCTCAGCCCAGGCCTACAGGATTCCAGGCTGCGACGCCAAATTACTTCACCTCCGTTTCCACGATGCAGCCTCAGGCGGGTGTCTCCAACCACCGGCCAGGCATGGCATCCACCTCATCATTCACATCCGCCAATTCGATCTCGCCTGCGGCAGCTAAGCCAGCCGCGTCAAAGTCCTCGAACAAGGATGCCTTCGGGTCACTGTGGTCGAGCGCCAGTGCCAGCGCAGGGCTGCAGAAGACAAACACAGGCGGAAACAAAGGACCTAACCTGGCAAGCATGGCCAAGGAGAAGGCTAGCGCGGGTATCTGGGGGACACCGGCAACACCCAGCTTTGCGTCCCCGTCTCCTTTACAGAGTCAGCCCTCCCAGCAAGGGGCCAAAACCGGTAGCTCCGGGCTGGATGACTTGCTCGGCTAGCCTACCTGCCTGTGTCTCTTTACTGTGTTTTCAAATCTTTTTTTTTTTTTTCTGCTGAGCAATATTTGCAATACTACTGTGATTTTACTGTCTTCATCCCCATTTTCAGCAACGAATCATTGGTAGCAAACGATGCCAGACCGTCCCTCGATCTCATGTTTCAGATTCTGTATATCCGGATGGTCATGATAGCTCTTTCGTTCTTTGCGTGGAGTCAAGGCTCGGGAGAAAAAAAAATACGACTTTTTTTCCCTATCAGAACTCTGGACAGACCCATTTCTCTTTTAAATAATTATACAACAAGATTAAGGTTCCCGTGTGTCTATTCCCAATCAATCATGGGAAAGATGCAACTTTGGCCAGGAAGCTGTGATGCTTTAAAAGAAAAAAAAAAAAAGGTCTTCGTAAAATGAGACGGGGAAAAAGGTCTAAACTTCCCCTTACTCATCAGAAAATATTCCCTGCCAGTTCATTCATCTCGTCTTCTGTTCCCACTCAAGGGGTGAAATGAGAACCATCCTTCAATGCGACAATCCTCGTATTTACCCTGTCCACCCTCGACGATCAGCACCCGCTAAAGAACTTTTCACCAGCCATCGCAGTGGAGAATGCGATTGGAATCTCTGTCGATCAGTACCCTCGGTCTTGCAGGTCTAGCTAGGGTCTAGCCAATTGTGGTCCACTAACCCCTAAGATTAACATTTTCGGGGTCGTATCGAGTGACAGTGATGTTGTTTCTCAAGAAATTAGGCTGAGGCTATTAGAGTAGGCATCCAGTGGTACATTATGGGCTTACGAGAAGGTTAGGCTTAGTCTTTGGGTTGGATTGAAGGGTTTAACTTCCTCGTGTCATGTCAACTTCTCCGTATATATACTACTCTGCAGCGTTAAGGGGCTGCTCACACTCCATACTCTATTCCCCACATCTATTCTAGTTCTTTTTATCGATATATTCCCCAAATTTCCCGAAAATGTACCTCGAGAACCTCCTCCCAGGCGGACTCTACCACCCCCTTCTCCCCCGAGAAACAGACACCTCCTGCTGGGGAGGCATAGGGCAAGGCGAATGTCTCGGCTCTTCTGAATGTATCTCCCCTTCCCTATAGTACAGTACATACCCATCTTAAAACACAAGGCTAATAGAACCCAGGCAAAGGACTCATCTACTCAAACCAATGTACCGACATCCCCGGCGGCGAGGTATGGCCCTCTCCTCTCCCCCTCTACACATCACCAAACACATAGAGAAAAAAGAACCCCCCACTAACAAAAAAGACAACATAGTGCTGTCTCCACCGCCGCTGCACAGTCCCCGAAGGAACAGGCTACTGCCGAGACACCCATAACCAGACCTGCGATGGGGGGAATTACTTCGCCGGGGCCCCTGTAAACCACCCCCGCCCCCGCTCCCTTACCTTCCTCCTATCTACCACCCTCATCTAGGAAAGGGACACTAACGAGAGAGAATCTAGCCCAACTGGCCCTGTCCGGGGATAAGTTCTATCCAATGCTGTGTGAAGCACGGGAATATGTCTAATGGGACATCGTCTTCGTCTTCGTCTTTGTCTTCGACGCTAATTCCTACTTCGACGTCCACGGCATCGACGACAACATCATCATCTCCGAAAGCAACTATCACTCCAGCAGGAGAATCCGGGACAGACACGGGTCTCTCAGGATCTCAGATTGGGGGTATAGTAGGTGGTGTTGTTGGAGGAGTACTTGTTTTCGCTGTTGTGGGTCTCGTTTTTTTTTTTCAGCGCCGGAAGGGGGGGGAGTCGGGTGCTGGGGGGGCTAGTGAGTCTGCTGGTGACTTGGATGAGACTGTTGGGCTGGGGAAGGATGTGCCTATGCTTGGGGGAAGTATGAGGCAAGAGATGGATGCGCAGGGTGGGGCGGTGCTGCATGAGATGGAGGGGGTTGATCGGGTATTGGGGACGGGGAGTGGTGAGAAGGGGATATCGGAGTTGGAGGGGGAGAGGACAGTGGTTGCTGAGTTGGATGGGAGGGGTGTGGTTCCGCCGTCTGGTGGGTAGTGTTTTTATATATCTATAATAGAGATATTTATCTACTGGGAGTATAACAGGGAGAGGGCCAATATTTTTGGATTCTTCTTAATACAACTTTAGTTACACACTGTACTAGCGGATCAATAAAATAATAATGATAATAATGATAATAATACACGAGAAGCATCATGAGTTTCTTGACATATACTATACTTGATTCTCATTTCCCTCCTGAACCATATCAGACGATGTGTCAAATCTAATGCATTATGCGACGCCGACGCTGAAAAATACAAAACATAAACATATTTACAAACCCCACAGAACCATATATCCCGATGTGATGCGACGGTTGCCGGCACTCGACGTCAGCAAGGTCTTCTCACAGAACAGTTATCATGATCCCTATCATATTATGCATGCACGCACTCTCCACCACCACCTACCATATAACTAGATCAGCGAGATCTTTTCCGCTGGTATCATATAAATTCGAAAGTTCCAGCCTGGGAACCAAGAAAACAAAGATATTGACTAGTTCCGTGTTAGAGCTCGACCATCTGGAGATGGGCAAGCGTGTCACAGAAGGCGTTTGCCCCGGGTGAATCCAGGGCTAATCCAGGGTTTGATAAAAGGGCCTCTATCTCTCCATATGACAGGTCGCACTATGTTGTGCCCTGTCCATCCCCACAGCAATGGACACATCATGTCTTCATCACAATGGTGCCATGTTGTCCGTCCTGCTGTTTTTTTTCGGTAATTTGCTTCACCATGTTGTCCGGGTTATGAATCTTCTCACCGTTACCGACATAGTCATCCTGAGTTGGCGTCATCGCCTGGTGGTTTCCGGTTGAATTAGCATCAGTATGAGTATCGTCCAATAATTCAGAGTCAGGAACACCATTCAACGACGTCAGTCCTCCTTCGATGTCCCGAAGCAGCCGAACGAACTCTTCCGGAACTAAGCCACTTTCCCCGGTCCGCGGGTCCTCTGCAACGAGCCAACCTTGGCCATGTCGATATGAGACGAAAATCACTTGACCCTCAGCAAGGGGAAGTTCGTTCTCGTGCTCCCTAGTGAAGTCGAAAAGTGCAACAGCCTTCCCATGCATCTCTTCGTCCGGGCATCCTACAGCAAATTGGAAGTCACCATTGTACCGATCACCAGTATAGTCTTCCTCCGATTCGTATTCCACATTAGGGTCATAACCCGGATAGCCCCCATATGTCCCCGCATATGAGTATCGGCTCTCATTTGCCGGGTATGTGACATACTCGCCGCCAGGGCCGTCATCTCTTTCATCCTCATCATCCACGTAGTATGTTTCGCTGCCGTCAGCGTTCGTGCTGACATACATCCCTCGATTCATATCTCCCAGGAAACCTGCGGCCTTTTGGGAACTAGGGCTCCTCCTGCGCTCCCCGTCTAGGTCCGTTCCAGTAGACTTGTTCTTCCGGTGGCGAGGCGCAGAGAATACCGGGCTATGGAGATCTTCATCCTCGCTATATGGTGGGCCATCGCCGAATGACATAGCAGGAAGCTGTTGGTGCCCGTAACTATGCTCGGTGCTCCACGGCCCAGTTGACCATTGTCCCCGCGAGCTATCCCACGGAGCCGGAGGATCGGACAGGCGCCGCTGCTCACTCGCCGGAGTTGACACCCCAGATGCACGAGGGGGCAGCGGACCGTAGTGTAGAGGATGGGTCGAGGGATACGCGAAATCTCGCACCAGAGCATACGGCAAGCTGGAGTGAAAGACGGGGAAAACATGCGATCCGGGACGCGACCGGTTCTGAGAGGCTAGGGAAATGTTAGAATGCGTGGAAAGACGATCTTTCGCATACGAAGATGATCTCTGACGAATGGACCGTTTGACAGTGGCGTCCGTGACGATGGGAGGCAAGACCGCTAGGTTGGACGCAGAGTCACCCTGCTGCGACGGAGGTGGCGACGCCGTAGAAGCCATGGTTGCGGTCATGGATCTCTTCGGGAAAGAAATAGCGCAAAAGACGATTGCGTGTCAGAAATTCGGGGCAAGGTAAGAGAATTCGGATGTGATCGCTAGGGCCAATTTCGACACATTTACACCCTAGTTTGGCATTGCGATCGTCTACCCGCGACTCTACTAAACTCGGGACTGAGAAGACCGCTTGATGTCAACAAGCAGATACGAGATGATCTTCACCAGATAAAGGAATGGGCGAGAGGATCAACAACGAAGGGAGCATGCGACCCTGAGGGGCACCGGCGAACTCCTTGCGTACAAGCACGATCTATACCGCTATCGTGTGGAAACTGTGCGGTAGAGGCCTATCCCAGGACACAGATATAAAAGTCACAGTGTACGTCAGGAAGCGATGGGGGCTCAATGGGTCTTGTCGACACGCCTACAATAACGGACAATCGACGGTAGGTGGGAGCGCGGCTATCAATCGTGAATCACCCCGGTATGGGTTCGAGGGGTAGCGTTCCGTTCGATAGTCGAACAAAAACTCAAGTAATCCTCCGAATCAGCGACTGGGTTGGAGAGGGGGTCAGTAAAGTGGTGGCCAATAACCGGTGGGCGCTGCAAAAATGCGGTTTCGAGCGTTTCGTCCCGCGCTTGCTGGTCGAGAGCAAAATGGGGATTCTAATTATAGCAGCAGAGCAAAGCGCCGCTGTCAGTGATGAGAACAAGTACTTCTGGCGCAAACTGAATGGCAGGGCATTAACGAGGAAAATTAAAATTGTAGGAAGGATTATGTGCATGACAAGACCTGCAGAATAGGATAGGATAGGAAATTGGACGGTGGAGGAGGGACCCAGCGGTAGGAGAGGCTTGTCGGAGATTACTTACACTGAAGACTGGCCTTGAAGCGTTACGGATCAACGAGGCGCAGTCGGCTGCGTTGTGGAGTTCTTGCTGGCCACTGGGGAGGTTAACAATCATTCACTCGACAGATCACAGAGAAAGAAGGGTAAGCAAGACCACTGAACATTGAAGTAGTATGTCTCGATCAACAATCGTCTTTCCTCACGCCCACAGCTGTAAGTCACTTTTACTTTCTTACTCTTAGTAAAGCATTTTCTTAGTCGATGCGGCACGTGCACGTGACAAAGACCGTTAGCGTGTTTCAGAGTACCATGCCTTGAACCATTCCTGATTGGTCCCTGAATGCCTCAGGTACATACTCATACCTCATAGAGTCATACTAGTACTTGTGCACCACCTCCTCGCATCATTTATTCAAATGGCTGTCACCCACCCTTACCGATCGGAAGGCAAGGAAGGCAAGGAAGCAAGATTTAGGTTTACGTTCCTCTGATCCTCTTGCTTATGGCTGGTCTTTTTTTCTACTGTGGATAAACTTTCTATTGAAATGCGAGTCTTCTAATACAACAAGAGCATTCTCGATTATAGAGAACTATGACCGGAGAAAAATTTTTTTTTTTTTCTATCTCAAAGGGACACTATAGCGCTCCAAGAACGAAGAACGCTAATAGGCCCGGCTGCCTGACCGGAACTTGACCACAGAAACACTTGGTCGCCGATGTTCTTTTCACCCAAAGGATTAAAGTCAGCCAGCCACCCGCAAAAGTTGCAGTGACAAATCAAGGCCCAGGTATGTAAATGCAAGGGGACAGACATTCAGTGGCTCGAGCTGGCAGAACAGCCAGGAACTACGGTTTTCACCATTGTAACAAAAGATGTTACTGTTGCTGTTGCCTGTGGCGCCATTGCCATTGGGGCTTGGACAGGCGACGTAGAAGCCTCCCCTCTCGGAGAGGTAGAAGACACAGTGGCGGGAGAATTTATAGAGCTGATTAGAGCAGCTGCTTTCGAAGAGTTTGGAATTGCTGGCGCTGAGATGCTGGGTTCCACTGAGCCTCCTACCCTCGAGGAGCTTGCCGTGGCTGAACTGCTGAGTGTTGCTGCGCCACCTGCTATCGGAGAGCTCGATGTTGCAAGTCTTGAACTGCTAGGCCCCATCGAGCCTCCCGATTTCCAAGGGACTGGTACTATAGGTGTTGAGCTACCGGGTACCGCTGACCCTCCCGCTATCGGAGAGCTCTGCGCAGAGCCGGAAGTCCCAGAGTCAAAGATTTCTGCAAACTGGTCTGGTATGGCGGCACCATTCAACGATTGGTCTTGGATATAGCCCGCTGCTACATGTGATTGGGTCCCAGGATTGGCTACGACGTCAATATCAATGCAGGTTGTATATATTTCCTGCTTTGCTCCCTCTCCGAAAGTAGGCCAGTCCCAGACCCAGTAAAGAGTATATGGTTTCCCAGATGGTGCCTTGGACGGCAGTGCAATATCTGTCTGACACCATAAATTGGTACCCATCAACGGATCTGCAGCATGAGGAAATTTAGCTTGGCGAGACTTTGAAATGTCACCATTGTTGATCTGGTAGCAACGGCCATCGTCGAAGTTTTGTATTGATAGGAGCAGACCACGTCGATCACCCCCAGTACCATCTTTATTCCATACCTTATGCACCTCCATTATCTTCTCGTCCTCTTTTGGATCGGTCGTTCCGTACACATATATCTTTCCACTATGCTCAGGCTTCCCAGGGGGAATATTAGGTTGTGTGACATGACCGTTTTCTTGGTAGCGGAGGGCAATGGCAGCGCCAGCGCTTGCCTGCAGTCTCGGACTTCCATCGGTCTGTACCGGCTTCCGTTGGGTGTCCTTACATAGGTAATCATCTGGGAGCAACTTGGTACGGCCTTGTGGTGGAACTAGGTTCTGCATCAGAGGGTCTTTGTACCCAGGACTCGAGCGAAGCACGTTCCCTCTTGAATAGCCTGGAGTTCCAACAAAGGTGCCATTTGGTGCAATAACCATGAGTTGTTCAACCCATGAATGAGCGTCGATCGCCGAGGCTAGCCAAAGGAAAGAAAGCAGCCCCAGGCCACCTTTCCAGGCACTGAGCTCGAAGCCCATGCTTTTTATGTGTCTTTGTCGTTATGGATGACTAGGAATTCGAAAAGAATGCAACAGGCACCGACCAGCGGAGTACATGGATTGTAAAATCAATCTAGGCCATTGATTAGCGAAATGAGTCAAGCAACTAGAAGCCGGCCAGAGCGCACCAACACGTCTTAAATACTCATAATGCTCTAGTGATTTCTTTATCTTCTCCGGGGTCTTTTCTCTTTGTTTTCAGCGAACACAATCGTATTATAATGAATGAATGTAGTAATATGGAGGAGCAGGACAATTGGTCTTTTAGAACAAATCTTCAAAGGAAGTCGTGCCGAATGTACAACAATGAGGCATGAAAAACCGGTATTCACCGGAGACGGTTGACAATAAATATACAACAATAGAAGTGTTCTTTGAGGGGACCCTCGTCCGGCTTGCCAATGAGATCCTCCTAATACGTCACACATCATTCAATATCAGTGGTATGTACGGATCCTTGTGGTGCCCACAAGGAGACACTCGAAACACAACGCACAAGGCGAGTCTATAGCAATGTCAATAGTAACAACGGGGTCCTATGCGGCGCCAAAGGATGAGAAAGAGAGAAGGGAAGCAAAATACAGATGACCATAGCCAATCAATACGTCTTTCGACGTCATGGCTCAGGCACCCTCTGCTTCTTGAAGTGTTACGGAACCCAGCACATCAGTTGCATCACATCCGTTAGCTGTCCCAATTTAGAAAATTATCAAATCGGCCCAATACGATAGGGTGCCCTGGAACCGTGGGAGACCTCGGGATTTTCCCATCTGCACAACATTTCCCCAAATAGTAGCGGCGCTTACCTGCGTGGGTCGAGGCTCTCTTGGTCCCAGGATCCTGGGCATGGTAGTATGGCATTCCCAGTGTTGCAGAAAGACAAACACTGAGGACATCCAAGATCACTCATTGGTTGTAGTTCTGTACCTTGGCGCTAAGATCGAGGTCCTTCCCTGAGGTCACTGAGATCTCGAGAATCGCTCTTCAAGGCGGCACAGCCCGTCGTTGCATGATCTGAAACAGTCTTAGACTACTGTACGCTATATCGAGACATTGTGACAAAATTAGGGTATTACCACAGACATTGGACGCCCAAGCGCTAAAACATATTTGGCAGGGCCCCCTCCTGCCCCACTCTGTTTTTCCTCTTCTTGAAGGCACGGCGCGAATGGAAACAGTCAGTTTTGACAGCATTAGTAGAAGGACAGGTACCGAGTACACTAGGTACCTCGTGAGCCGTTGAGAGTAGAGTTCAAGATAATGCAATCTAATGCTCCGTCGATCAAATACATAATCCTAGATATACCCTGAGCTTTCCCATCCGGTCCATGGGTATGAGATCGAGGAAGAAGAGAAACGCTTCATACTAAGTACACATCCGTTTTAAGCCCGATCCGGCATCGGGCTTCGAAGCCATCGTTCGCCCTCGCATTTCCCTTCCTAGTTGCTTGGCGCGGACAGAAATCTCCACAAAAATTCGGTATTCATTGTTTTGGTCTTTCGGCTCGCTTGTTTCTCTGGATCAATTGGTCCCAAGAGTCACACGCGTCTTTTGACCATCAAGGTATCCAGATGGTTCCATTGTCTCTGACCAACTTGTATTGTTCATCCCGGCACAAGCGTCGAGAGCACAATGCCTCAGGCTTCTCATATGACCTGCCCTCACGAGGAAATGGTGCAAGGTTAGTCGGATTGAGAATGTTAACCATCCTCGCGATTAAATCGTCTCGTATTTGGATCAGCTGGCTCTGGGGCTCCTCTCCAACTCACCTCGGGCTTCTTTTTTTTTTCTTTGATTTCGGGTTCCTTTCAAGGATCCAAGTCCTTCCTCAGATCTCACTACGCGGATGTGTCAAACATGGAAATTTAAACGGAAGAAATACCACATCGATGGGGATAGTCGCATTTCATTTGGGCCGTATGGAGGGTGATTGGAGAGAGATGAAGAGATTGATTAGATGGAAATGTGGGTATCATGTTATCTCCGACGGATCAAGGACTCCTCAGTGGATTGGAGTAATTTATCGTTAATGTTATACACAAATCAAGCCCTTGGCCCTTGTGTCCACTTGGCTTAAACCGTCCCACAGAAACAAGCCGTGGAAGACCGGTTTTGGTGGTGAATTGGCTGGGATGCTGTGGCAAAAGAACGGAACCCGCCCTTTTCAGTTACATAAAAATACCTCAGAAGAGTCGTAAGCATGATACGAAAGTATGGAGTAAGGAAGGTAGGGTATCACCCAGCGGATAGTCCACTGCCATTGAAAGGTGAGGAAGGGGGAATTACTAGTACCTTTGTTTAGAGAATGTTGTTCTCTCACTCACTCATACTCTAGTTTTTGTATTTCACCATCTTCGTTCCCAATGACAGCCACCCCTGAGCCATAAATCGAGGGTGATCATACATGATGCAGTATGGATCTACAAACTAACTTTCATGCATCTATCCTATGAGGTACATAGTAGTAGTACTTGGGTAAATCCCTGTTTTGGTATCGGAACTCTGGACCTTATTGGCTTTCTATCCAGATTAACGATGGTGGAAAATATGGAGACAATGATTCATCGACAGGTATTGAAGGTTATTTTGATTTTTTGTATATTATACATACAGCATGTAACAATGATGCAGTGCACCCTACTTCCTGATATCGGTTGATACAGCATACTGGTATGCAATGTCCTGCGAGGGGGGAGGAAGAAAATCTTGCCTTCTTATCTCGTTCCCTTTGACGCATCTGATCTCACCGTAAGAAGAATAGCCCCCAAAAAAAAAGAAAGGAAAAGAAGATCAGTGCTGTCGACTTCGTGGCAGGCTGACTCTGACCTCTCTCAGGGCTATAAAAGTCACTAAAGTAGTTAGTCTGTATTCGGTGGGTTCCCGTGCTATATGATACCTACACTAAGAGGGAAATTTCTCTAGTCAGCTTTTCCGTCCGACCCTTGATGGACTTCTTTTATCTCTCCGTCATTTCCTCACTTTGGGTCCTCCTTTTTTTCTCTCTTTTCTTTTCTTTTGCTTCCCTCTCTTAGACTACTGGCCAACCTTCTTCAACAGGGGGAGAATCTCGCTGCCTACCTTGAGGATATTATATCCGCCCCGACTCCACTCTTATTGGCTGCCGACCCTGTGGCCTAGTTTTGCAACGGCGGCGAAAACCCCGGATTTACTTATTTCCATCGCGCGTTTTGTTGAAGCTCCCAACTTTCCACCTTCAGGGGGCCCAGTCAAGAAAGAATTCCCCAGCCGGGAATAGGAATTGCTACGTGATACTCTCCTTATCATAAAGAGCATTTCACATCGGACGGGGCTCTCTCTCCATTTCCCATTAGGTATGTTGTCGCTGGCGTGATCCAGCGGGCCCTTTCCCTTCCCCAAAAAAAAGTTGTACGGAACTGACCGCTGCCTATCCTTTTTCCCCCTTAGAGCCCCAACAAACACGCTACGGAACCCCCTTTCCTTTTATTTATTGTTTTTGGCTCCATGCCATTGTCGCACACTTGTGGAGAAGTATTTCATCACGGGGTCCAACTTGTCTAAACCAGTCTAGAGTGTAGCCTGTGTGAGACAAGTCGGGCGATCTAACCTGCAGGATTTCTTTCCCTGCGAACCTGCAAGACTTCTCTCAGGACGAGGTTTTCACCGCCTCTCTGTCACCTAAGATGGCGGCAACTTTAGTCCCTCGAAAGTGGCGCGCAACAAATGTCGATGGTGACACCGAGCCGAGCTGGTTAAAGCGTCAGGTCACCAGTGGCTTGCAATCCATATCCCGTCGGGCATGTGCTCATCCGATCCACACGATCGTGGTAGTTGCTTTGCTAGCCAGTACAACCTACGTCGGCCTGATCGAGGGGAGCATATTTGACAGCATTAGGAACCCCAAGAATGTCGCTGGTCAAGTGGACGTGGACACCCTCCTCCAGGGTGGCAGGAATCTTCGGTTAGGGGAGAGTACATCCTGGAAATGGCAGGTCGAGGATGCTATGACACCCGTGGATAACGAGGTGAGACTCCCAGTTTCTGTTACCGTCAACGCGTGTACACCAATTCTCATCGTGTCTGGATTAGGCTACTCAGCATCTCGCATTGGCCACCTTTGTCTTCCCGGATTCTACCAGAGCTGACGCTACTGCTCCCATTGCCGACGAAGTACCAGTCCCTGCCAACGCTTCTGCACAGCCGGTTCCTCACACTCCGAATTTATTCTCCCCGTTTTCCCATGATTCGTCTCTGGCTTTCACTCTGCCATATGCCCACGTTTCTCCGTTCCTGAAAGCGGTACAGGAGATCCCTGATCCCTCGGCCGACGAAGATGTCGACGAGCAGAAGAAATGGATTATGCGGGCGGCTCGTGGACCTGCCAGTGGTCCCCGAACAGTGAAAATCTGGTTTACGGATGCTTGGAGTTCTTTCGTAGACTTGATCAAGGTATGGCGACTTGACCCTGAAAGCACGTGTTGTGGCTAACATTTAGCAGCACGCTGAAACAATTGACATTGTGATTATGACTCTGGGCTACTTGTCAATGCACTTGAGCTTTGTCTCTCTCTTCTTCTCCATGAGACGCTTGGGCTCAAAGTTTTGGCTTGCGGGCACAGTTCTTCTAGCGGGCGCTTTTGCATTCCTGTTTGGTCTTCTCGTCACGACTAAACTTGGTGTTCCAATCAACGTGCTCCTCTTGTCAGAAGGTCTTCCATTTCTCGTCGTCACAATCGGGTTTGAGAAGCCGATCATCCTCACTCGGGCCGTGCTTAACGCTTCGGCTGACAACAAGCGCCGAGGCGGTGCTGCGACTTCTGACCAACCCGCGGCGAGCACTGCGAAGTCTATCCAAGACTCTATCCAAATTGCTATCAGAGAACGGGGAGCTGAGATTGTCCGGGATTACTGTATCGAGATTGCTATCCTCGTTGCTGGTGCAGCTTCAGGAGTGCAAGGTGGCTTAAGACAGTTCTGCTTCTTGGCTGCTTGGATCTTGTTCTTCGACTGCCTCCTGCTTTTCACTTTCTACACGACTATTCTTTGCATCAAACTTGAAATCACTCGAATCAAGCGTCATGTCGCGCTCCGCAAAGCTTTGGAAGAGGATGGACTCACTCACCGCGTCGCTGAAAACGTGGCCTCAAACAGTGACTGGCCTCAGGGTGGCGCGGAAAGCAGTGAGACTAACATCTTTGGGAGAAAAATCAAGTCCAGCAACGTGCGTCGGTTTAAGATTCTCATGGTCGGAGGCTTTGTTCTGGTAAATGTGGTTAATTTGTCTGCCATCCCTTTCCGAAATTCCGCTTTGGGTTCTGTTCCATTGCTCTCTCGCGTATCCAACGTGCTAGCGCCGACCCCGATTGACCCTTTCAAGGTCGCAGAAAATGGCCTGGATTCTATCTATGTGACTGCGAAGAGTCAGATGACGGAAACTATTGTGACTGTGATCCCACCAATCAAATACAAGCTAGAGTATCCTTCCGTGCACTATGCTGCGGGAGACGATAGCCAGTCCTTCGACATTGAATACACTGACCAGTTCTTGGATGCTGTGGGTGGACGAGTGATTGAAAGTCTTCTCAAGAGCATTGAAGACCCAGTCATCAGCAAGTGGATTATCGCTGCTCTCACCTTGAGCATCATTTTGAACGGCTACCTTTTCAACGCAGCACGGTGGAGCTTCAAGGAACCCGAGGCTCCCCCTGCACCCAAGGTTGTCGAACCGAAGGTTTACCCCAAAGTAAACTTGAACGAAGGCCCTAAGAGGAGTGCCGAGGAATGCGAAGCAATCCTGAAGGAAAAGCGAGCTTCTTACTTGTCGGACGAGGAACTCGTTGAGCTTTCTTTGCGAGGAAAGCTCCCGGGGTATGCTCTGGAGAAAACCATGGAAAATGAGGATCTTATGAGCCGCGTCGATGCCTTCACGAGGGCAGTCAAGATTAGAAGGGCTGTAGTATCTAGGACTAAGAGTACGACTGCTATTACAAGTGGACTGGAGAACTCGAAGCTCCCCTACAAGGACTACAACTACACATTAGTTCATGGGGCATGCTGTGAGAATGTTATCGGTTACTTGCCTCTGCCCCTTGGAGTTGCTGGCCCTCTTACTATCGACGGTCAAAGCTACTTCATTCCCATGGCTACCACTGAAGGTGTCTTGGTAGCAAGCACCAACCGGGGTGCCAAGGCTATTAATGCAGGTGGTGGAGCAGTGACTGTTCTTACCGGTGATGGCATGACTCGTGGTCCATGTGTCGGTTTTCCCACTCTGGCACGTGCAGCAGCAGCAAAAGTTTGGATTGACTCTGAGGAAGGTCAAAGCATCATGAAAGCCGCGTTCAACTCTACCAGCCGCTTTGCCCGTCTTCAGACTATGAAGACTGCCCTTGCAGGTACTTATCTGTACATCCGTTTCAAGACTACGACCGGTGATGCTATGGGTATGAATATGATCTCCAAGGGTGTTGAGAAGGCACTTCATACTATGTCGACTGAATGTGGTTTTAATGATATGGCAACTATCTCCATCTCTGGAAATTTCTGCGCCGACAAGAAGTCCGCTGCCCTTAACTGGATTGACGGCCGTGGAAAATCGGTTGTGGCAGAGGCCATTATCCCCGGTGACGTCGTCAAAAGTGTGCTCAAAAGCAACGTCGACGCTCTGGTTGAATTGAACACCAGTAAAAACCTGATTGGAAGTGCCATGGCTGGAAGCTTGGGTGGGTTTAACGCCCACGCGTCGAACATTGTCACTGCCATTTTCTTGGCGACAGGCCAGGACCCTGCACAGAACGTGGAGAGTAGTAGTTGTATCACCACTATGAGGAAGTAAGTCACTCACTTGTAGTAATCCAAGGTTTATGCCAGTGTACTAACAGTTACGCTTTTAGTCTTAACGGCAGCCTTCAGATTGCCGTGTCAATGCCTTCAATTGAGGTTGGAACTATCGGTGGTGGTACGATTCTTGAAGCTCAGGGTGCCATGCTTGATCTGCTTGGTGTACGCGGCTCTCACCCCACCAATCCTGGTGACAATGCCCGTCAACTAGCACGTATTGTTGCTGCCGCTGTTCTTGCAGGCGAACTGAGCTTGTGCTCCGCACTTGCTGCCGGCCATCTTGTCCGTGCGCATATGGCACACAACCGTAGTGCCGTTCCTACACGGTCATCAACTCCCGTCTCAGCGGCAGTTGGGGCTGCTCGGGGACTGACCATGACCAGATCGAAATGAATCAGGGTCTAGGTGGCCACTGATGTCTTCCGCTGCCTCATGATATACTCACGCCAATACCGCTGCTATGTAGCAGACCCTCTTCCTGGCTCTCCTCCCCCATTCCTTGTATATTCAATGATACCCTATGGTTCTTGGTCAATGACCTTTGTGGAGGGTCCCACATCCTATGACTCTTTGGAGGCTTTTATATGCCTTTGTTTTTTGGGATTTACCGTTGCTCACCTTGTGACGACAAATAAGTGGAGTATGGAATTACAATCGTCTTTTTTTCTCGGCGCGGAGAGGAAATGGATACGATAGAAAAGATGACTTGAATGCAATAACCGAAAGGAAAACGAATTGAGTAAAGGAGGAATAAGCCAACCAGGCATGTTAAATGGAAAGGCTAAACGATATCTCTTGGATGGATGTATATTGAAATAGAAACAAAGAACCTTGTCATCGGGGAATACAATTGTTAATCATGGAATATTCATGCCACGTATATATCTATTTGACCTCTGGGTTCTACACCTGAAAGAATGAATGAACGAATCCCTTACCTAGGAAGAAATCGAACTGTATGTACCTCTGTCCTGTATTGCTCAGTACCTATTAGTACTCTCGCATACTAACATACTAACGGAGTACGGGACTAATACCTTATTAGTTGGTCGGAACAGAGTTTGGGGCCAAAGGCGCGGTCTGGACTCCCGCCTTAGGCTCCAACTAATGGCCCTTGAACGATCAATTTCCAGCGCCTCCTGGATTCAACAACCATGTGGATTAGCTACTCGAGCCCCGAGGTGTAATCATATTAGGAGACTACGTAATGAGCTGGATGTCTAGCAAATCGCTGGATAAAATTAACATATTATGATTATTATTAACCATCGGAAAATTTTCTTTGTTATTTCGGGAAAAGTGATGGGAGCACCGCCACAGCGGCGCTAATTTAGCACGTACGTAGTTTTTGATCTGTTCCAGCGGACATCGTAGGTACTGTTTTTATGTGGACAGGTCAGTATTGTCTAATTCTGTATGTACGGTACGTATCGATCTTGTCTAACATGATACATATGTATTGTACCTGACTACTGTACCTATGTAAGGCTTATCTTCTAAGCAGGGATGCTTATGGAGCAGGGGGTTTAAAACATCTCACTACCGGGTACTAGTCCTGTATTCTGTAGATGATTATAATCGGATGGAAGTTCTTGATCGGGCTCTTCTGTTCCTCCTTAGGCCATGAAATATACTACTACGGAGTACAGCCATGAGCATAATGCGTTCCTAAAGCACCGACCGCCGTTGCCACAATACCGATACAAGTAGGTAAGCTCGCATACACGCCGTGCCGCATAGTACTCTCTCTCCTTTTGTAATTGGGGTCTGGTCTGGGTCTGTCTGTCTGTCTCACGCTCGCTGTCTCGTTCTCTCCCTTCTTCCGCCCGTCCCCCAGTCCCCATCAATCCTCCACTCCTTTAGACTTCGGGACGCTGGACTCTGCTCCTGTGGCTGTTGTTGACTTGGCTGCATTCGTGCCATTAACCTTGTCCCTGTTTTTTTTTTTTTTTTTGTGTTCCCTCCGCGCATGTGTGTGCTCTAGTTATCAATTATTCTCCTGTTAATCTCTTCTGCCTCCGCACTGTCGTTATCTTTTATTATCGCATTATCCATCGGTTTTTACATTGTCGAAGCCATTTGTTGCTATTTCTCCGGACAGTCTCACGAATCAACCCGGACCGTGCTTTATCGTCAGCCACAGTTAGAATTATTTTTATACCCGTCCTTTCGGCTCTCAAATCGCCCTCTTCTGATCGCAAATTCCCCAAATCTCGAATGAATAGCTGCAAGTTCAACATACTGAGGAGGTCAACGGTTAGCCTGTGCGAGCGGTTACAGGAGCCACGCGACTGCCGTCATTTCGACCCCCTATGAATGGTCACTCAGGGACTATGTCTCCTGTCTCAGTGGACGGCAGTGACTGGTCTGGAATTAATCAGTACCAGAAGTCGGAAGGGCCATTTTCCCCAACCTTATCGAGTCGCAGCAATCTAGCCACACCGCCGACCTCGGGTACTGCCAATGGGCCTAATGGCGCTGGTATACAGAATGGGAGTTTGTCTGGTCGCATGAGCGACGCAGGAAATCCGCCTTCGCCGACCTCAACGGCAGCGCGATCGAGTGACGGTACACTGTCGGACCAACGTAGTAAGCGATACCGTCAGATGGAAGAGGTCCTAGGGAAGCATTACTCTGTCCTGAGAAGGTTTCTCAACGCGTCTTATCGAGAGGACCGAAATAGCAGACCAAGCAAAGCCAGGGACAAGTTACTCAGACTATCTGCGACTCAGTTCCATGAACTCAGTACTGACGTATACGACGAACTACTCCGACGGCAACAAGCCACGCCTCCCCCCGGCCGGCCCCCTCGTCCCGATATCCCCCCATTCCTGCCGCCGCGACAAGACTTCCATGAAAAGCGCAACCAGGCTCGCCAAAAACTTGCGTCGCTCCAGCATACCCGTTTTCGAGATCTGGCCACGGATGTCTACACTGAGCTGGAGCGACGGTTTCCACATTTTCCGGAGAAAGAATCTCGCAGAGCGAGCCCGGCTCCTAGCTTCCGTGGTCGTCCATCGAATGGCTACCCTTCGCCCAATGGATATGGTCCCGGGGGATACCCCCCTCCGCCTCGCTCACAGTCTCGCGGCCCACCGTCGCGGATGGGTTATCCATCTGGAGGACCACCCGGCAGCCCGATGAGTGGTGTATTTCCTCCCCGGCAAGGGTCTTTAGGTGGTCCGCCGTCTATCAATGGGGACCATGGCCCCATGGCCAAGTCGTTTCAGAGCAACACAATTGTCCCCAACAAGAGTACTATGGTGGAGGACGATGACGACATGGTTGGGGTAGACGATGACTACGATGCGCGAAGTGATGCTTTTGCCTTGGACGCGGTTTTGCAAAGCAGGCGAGGAACCACAACGACCCTGGGAGAGGGCGATCGGAAGCTATTGGCGGACACTCAGTCTCAGGTGTCGGCGCTGCAAGAAAAAGTAAACAAGCTCGAAGAGTTACTAAAATCAAAGGACGAAGAGCTCTCTAAGCTTCAAGGCGAGCAAACAAAGGTGGATGAGCTAGAGGGTCTACTGAAGGCCAAAGATGAGGAGCTCTTTAAATATAAGGAAGGGCACCACAACACCCAAGTGGATACCTCGGAGCGTCAAGAATGGGAGGATCTCAAGCTCGACCTGGAAGCCAAGGTTTCTAAAGCGGAAGAGTTAAACAGCTCTCTGCAGTCCGAGCTGGATAAAGTTCGGACAGAGCACAATGCCATGGAGAAGGAGCTCCGAAGCCAAATTGATGAGGCATCACGGGAGGGTGGTGGGGATGCTGAACTGCAAGCGCGGTTCGCTGACCTTGAGGTTAAGCACAAGGGTTTGCAGGCCGAACTTCAAGTACAACAGAAAGTAACGGAAGAAGTAAGACGAGAAGCAGCTGGGTTCCTTATGGAGATGAAGGCCTTATCAGAACAGAGCCACTCTAGATGGGAACATGAAGAGCGGCTGTCTGGCGAAGTTCATAGACTGGAAGAGGAAATAAAGCAGTGGAAGAGTCGATATGCCAAGGCGAAGACCCAGTTACGACACCTCCGAGCATCCTCGACGGGCATAGAACTCCGCTCCGATGTCAACGCGATCGCAAAGGATAACGCATTCCTGGAAGAAAATGGTCTTATCAAGGATGTACATGTGACAAAGTTCCAGATTTCCATTGATGAATTGCTTCGAATTGCTCGTTTCGACGACTACAATTTGGTGATGCAGCAAATTAAAGCAGTTGTCATCTCTGTCCGGCATGTCCTGCAGGACGTTGAAGTGGCTCCAGATGGCGAAGAAAGTGTGTCTACACCACGCACTAAGGCCACTCGCAAAGTCTCCGCAACAGCGAACAATTTGATAACTGCGTCCAAGAACTTTGCTAGCTCATGCGGTCTGTCTCCAGTCTCTCTTCTAGATGCTGCTGCGTCGCATCTGTCAACTGCTGTTGTTGAGCTCATCCGCCTTGTCAAGATCCGACCCTCGCCAGCAGGTGATCTTAACGAGGATGATGAGGATCAGCTGGCTCAGATGAAATCACCCGATTACTTTAGTGTTGCGCCAAGTCAGGGCAGGTTCAGCAACAATGGATCTATCTACAGTGCTATGAGTCCTCCGTCTAGCCACTCGCGTAACGCTACAGAATCTCATACTCTTAACGGAATGGCAGCAGGTACCAAGATTAACTACCCCGGACCGTCTGGAGACCATGAGCTTCAGGAACTCAAGGTTAGCATACCTCTTATTGCCTCGTTCACCGTGTGGTGCCTAACGTCCTTTGCAGCTCTACGTAGAAGACCAAACAGAGGGCCTGGTTCAATCAATTCAAGCTCTTGTTGCCAGCATCCGCGCCGAAGATGGCCTGACGACTATACGCACCCATGTTTCTGCTATTTCCTCTATTGTTACCAACGTCTCGTCGTCCACGGAGCATTTCATTCATAAACCGGAGGTTAACCCGGTGATTCAACAACGCGCTGGGCCAATCATTGAGAAACTCGATCAACATAGGGGCCGTTTGATGGGAACAGCAGCTGAAGGAGAGGGAGCTTCCAGCGCCGAGCAGGTTCGGGACGTTACCAACAAACTTCCCCCTATAGCTTTCGAGATTGCCAGAGAGACAAAGGAGTTGGTTCAACGATTAGATCCAGTGGATCAAGAAGAATCTGACGATGACTTCCGCTAGTCGTGCAGCCTTTATCTTAGGTCTTGCGAGGATTGCCTTAGCACTTCCGTCTTCTAACTGAATACTTGCGTGCGTTTCTTTACCCCTTCTATTTATAATTTTCATTTCATCTGCGGCCGTTTAATCGTGCTGCGCACATTATTTTGATTTGACAGAACCGACATGACTGCTGTGTTAGCAGCTTCTTTCTTGCAGTTATCATGCATGACAACGACCAACCATGTGAGATGAGTGTTGAATTGGGTGGTACTTATGACCTTCTTTCTAATCCTCTAATGCTATATGGTATTGTACTTTACTGATTTGTTTATTATGTTTATTATGTTTATTATTATTATTATTATTTTGTTTCTCTTTCTTTTTTCTTTTTTATTCTCCCCCCTTTTTATTGATCATTTACCATTCTGTTCTTCTCTGCGTCACTATTTCTCAATTAGCGCTTTGTCTTCTTCAATATCTCCTGTTTTTCGCTCTTCCTTGTTTCTTTGATTTCCCCCAGACCACGTACGTGTTATCTTGGGGACATCAATAGTCGCCGTCTAGTTTCCTTTTCGTCGTGAACCGTTGGCCTTATAAACCCACTGGGTGGAATAGATCTTAGTATGTTGATGGTGTCCGTTAGTGTATTGCAATTTCTCCATAAGTTCCAGTGACTGGAGCACGTGATCATAATTGTCCTCATCCTAAGTAAGAACCAAAATTAATAGCTCCCCGGCCCAGATTTTTCCGCCGGGGTCTTGGAAGTTCTCGAAGCCTGTCGACGTGGATTATATAATCCCTAGCTTTGGAGCTTTCTTCTCTTGGTTATTTTTCCTTTTGTCTGGTTCCATCGCTTTCTACGCAACAGCTCACCACCGCAACTTTGGTTAATTAACCGCAATTGTTCTTTCATATTTATAATAAGATAAACTGTAAGTACTCTGTACGCGCCATAGTGTTTCCGGTGAGGTGAATTGGCCTTGCCATTGGGTCGGGGAAAGAACGAAGGCCTTTGCTATCCTCCCTAGCCCAAGGCTAAGGGGGACAAGTTTCAACCAACCATATGGCGGCCTGAGGCCACCACCGGGAACCAACCACAAAATTTGCACGGTTGGCGCGTGTCGGCTAACGGAGGTGATTTCGCCCCGCAGTGCAAGTTGCCCGTTTTGTCCCGCTTGTGCCCCTCCAGCAACAATGTTCTCCCGAAGCCTGAGGTCAACAACAACCCCACTTTGCTCATCCTTCGCTTCTCGTCCTCTCTTCAATTGCAATCAGTCTTCTTTCCTCTCTCTTCGTCAGTTCCATCAAACAACCGCAGCCATGTCCGGAAACACCAAGGCCTTCTTTGACATTGAGTACGCCCCTGTGGGCACCAGTGCCCGTAAGTCTTCACCATTCCCTTTTTTCATTGCTGTTGTGGTGCCCTGTGGGAGAGGCGATTTTTACCCCTCTTTCGTATGGGAACAGGATAGGTCTGTCTCAAAAAGACCGGTCTATCTATCCTCAATTCCCTTTTTCTGCCATCAATCACTGTTTCGCTTGTGCTGACAATGGCTCTCGCTGTCTATAGCCAAGACCGCTCGTGTCGTCTTCAACCTCTTCGAGCAGGATGTCCCCAAGACCGCTCGCAACTTCCGTGAGCTCTGCAAGGCTCCCCAGGGCCAGGGTTACAAGGGCTCCAGCTTCCACCGTATCATCCCTCAGTTCATGCTTCAGGGTGGTGACTTCACCCGTGGCAATGTAAGTTCACTAGTTTTCTTCCCTCTTTTTTTCCCTCTGCCAACTTTTTTTTTGGCGGCCCATTCCGCTCTAGTCTGACATGAATGCTAATCAACTGTTTGTAAAGGGCACTGGTGGTCGCTCCATCTACGGTGAGAAGTTCGCCGATGAGAACTTCATCTACAAGCACAACAAGCCCGGTCTTCTCTCCATGGCCAACGCTGGTCCCAACACGTAAGTCTTCTGTAGCCCATGTTTATCAGTCTTCCGATAGTTACTAACCCCCGGTCTAGCAACGGCTCCCAGTTCTTCATCACCACCGTTGTGACTTCTTGGCTCGATGGCAAGCACGTCGTCTTCGGCGAGGTTGCTGATGCTGATTCCATGAAGGTTGTCAAGGAGATTGAGGCCCTTGGCAGCAGCTCTGGTGCTGTCCGCTCCAACGTGAAGCCCACCATTGTTAACGCCGGTGAGCTCTAAATGCGTCAAGAGGACAATAAGAAAGCCAATTTGTGAAAGGAAAAATGCTGCCCTCGACAACTTGACTTTGCGGGGAGGATGGAAAACGGCCTGTGGCTTTTTCCCTTCCCTGAGGCGAGTTTTGGGGTAACGGTGGTCTCCTGTTTTCCTTGCGTGGTGTAATTTAGAGTGCCTATCGACATATTGCCAACCTCCGTCTTATGTCTCTAATCCATCCCACACGCTCTCTCTCACTTCGTCAAATTAGAGAGATGTGGTTCGTAATTGTGTAGGAGCATCAGTCTCAATCTAGTTGCCTGAATAGTGTATTGTAACGGAACCCCGCTCGGCACAGTGGGGTTATGATTTAACATATCCCTCAGCCCTAAGTTTTGCATTCAATGAACAGACCCCAACTACTGACTATAGCCAGTCCTATAACCCCCCTCCCAGGCCATAGTAATGCAGATGCTGCTACATATACACTTAAATAGAATGACAACAAAGCAAGTAAACAAATAATACACATACGTACATACATACAACATCACACAGTCCGATTCCAGAGACCCAACACCTCTCAGATCAAATTACAGTATAATACCCTAGAGAACCCAGAAAATAAGGTACAAACTGCCCCTAGGTAAAGTACCACGCTTACCTTGCACAAAACAAGAATATATTTATAGTACGAACTTCCATATTATTTTAACATCAATATATACCATCCGCGGAGCTATGCAAACTAAGTACAAGAAAACATAACCACACCCAAACTCCCTGCCATATCATAAGTCCTAGTACAAGAGTCTTGGTCTATCTATCATCCACAGCATTTCGTCACACTCGTGGCATCATTTCTGGTTAGCGTTCTTGGTTAGCTAATTCGGTCCTCAAGGTAATCGCGAAGAACGAAGGGAAAAAAGGGGGGAAGGGGTGTGCGAGGGTAATCAGTCAATGAATGAGTGAATCCAACCATCCATCAATCATGAAAGTGAAAGACAAAGCGAGAGAAAATTAGAGAGAGAGACATACTCCTTCCCCAACTGCAACGGCTCCCAACTAAAAATGAACGAGCCCAAGAACGCCCCGATAAAGATACAAATAATGATGTACCCATTGAAATACATGGCCAGCAACATGATGAAATAGGCGACAGCGAACTGAACCATGTGCATCAGGGCGCGAACGAGCTGTTCGACGAGCGTAGGCCGGACGGGGAAACCCGCCGAGGGACAATTCGGTGCTCTAATACCCGTAGTGACTGGGACTGGGGTTGCAGACGAGGATGCCTTTGGCGTGTCTTCTTCGCCGGGGGTGGAGGTTTGAGAAGAGGACAATGGCATGTTGAGGTACTGGGCTCTGAGACGGGCTCGTCGGAGGATGAAGGCGTCGTATTCGCGGCCGACGCGGCGGAGGAATTCGAGACTGATTACTAGCAGGATGACGCCTATGCAAGAGCCAGCGAACATGCCGTTGGAGGTGATGTGCCATTGTTTGGAGAGGAAGCCTGGGTTTGGGTTTGGGTTAGTTGGTTGGGATGTTTGGTGGATAGTTAGGGCTTGGTTCTTTGGGAGATGGAGTGGGCGTACAGGCGTCTTTGACGGTCCAGTTCCATAACATCTGAGGTTTCTTTGTTAGTTTTAAGGTTGTTCTTCTTGTGCTATTTGGGATTGATGGGATCTGAGGTAGGCTTAGGGGGTGGAATTGAGGAGCTTGTAACGTACGGAGATCTTGCAGCTGTTGCCACCGTGCATGCCGCCCATGTCCATTGAGTGTGAGGCGGTGCTGGAGCTCATGGCTCCTGTGGATGTTGCTGTAGGCATGGACATATCCATGCCCATCATGTCGCCGTGGGCTACCATGTTGGCGTACAAGGTGTCTGTGTCAGGGAATAAAAGTAAGAGAGATCAGTGTAGTGAAACGAGATAGACTGAAGTCAGATCAGTCACGTCGCTGGCCGTAGTTAATTACTAGCTATAGATAGCAGCACTGAACAAACGAGACTCGAGGGATTGAAATGTGGGAAGAAAATGAAGGAAGAGAAAGGAAAAGGTTCTTTTATCATGCTACAAAAGGTAGGATCATATTATCATAGAGCGCATGATTTTCTTTCAGCAGGATCCGCCATGTTACAGGATGTTTTCTTATTTCCTGCTCGAATGGCCTCATTGAAGCCTTTAGAGTAAACATCGCATCTTCTATCCCAGCGCGGGCCAATCAGCGGCCCCTGCTGCGCGCGGAATTGAGCAGATTTCCTGATGCTAAGCGTTTTAGTAGTTTTTCTTACTCATTTAAATCAAACCAGAGCACCAAAAAATTTTCCACTGGCTTAATGCTTTGTTTTCTTGATTGTGGAAGAAAAGAAACTTAGTAAATATCGAATTTAATCCAACCAGACACGCCCCAACACCTCTAAAGTGCACCATGTGGGTATAAAGAGCTTTTGATAGATACAGAAAGATTCACTTGAGAGACCTATCATGATTGGTTGGATCCTTTGAGGACTCCCTCCAAGATCTCTCGGATCTGCTTGCAGCCATCAATCCCGACGGCAAGCATCGTCTCAACATACGTGCAATGCACTTTCGAGTCCATGTTCAGCATGGATACTTTCATGTCTTCCTCGTCATCATCCATCGCGTTCTCTCCCACTGGCACGGACGTCGTGGTGCCCACGGTGAGAAATGGGAGCTCCTGCTCCTCCGGCAAAGATAGATCCAGAATCGGATCGAGCTCGTCATTTTTAGGATCGCGGGGAGTGGAAGCACTTCCGCTCATACCAGCTGTGCAGCCACAGAGTAAGCCCGGCATGGGGACGCCTGCATCTACGAGTGCTAGGGTGCAAGCGTTGATAGCAGCGGCAAGAAGAGAGCCATCGGCCGATAATACTGAAACGTGAATGCTTATAGTGCTGTGGGGGTAAAGGTAGGTGTGAAGATGCGACTGGAAAGCAGCCCGTAGAGTAGTTGCAATGCGTGATGATTGCCTAGGAGAGACAGTCAGTATAACTCATAAGTAACAGACGAAAGACTCTTGGCCTGCGTACTTATCGCTTCCTCCCACCCTTCTCTTGCGATCAACTCCCGCAAATCCAGCGACGTTGACATCAACCTCTACCACAGCCCCCGAAGAACCCGCTGTGCCGCCGGTCGCATCGCCTCGACGTCCCTCAGCAGGACCGTGGACTGAGCACATGATAGTCGTATTACCCATGGCCAGGTAGGAGGAGCCAGAACTGGCTGGATTTGTGGAGATCTGCGCTTGAAGAAGACGAAGCTCGTTCCACCGGCGGCCATCAAGGCGCAATTTGGTGAGAGGATAAGTCGTAGATGTATCGAGAGGCATATTGGGGGTTGGTTTGTCTCGTTTCCGTCCGTTGAAAGGCTTTCCAAGCAGTCGTACACGCTTTTGATGCGGTGATAGTCCGGTAACTGGTTCCTCGGAGCGTGGACGAAAAAGCGACTGCGTAGTTTGAAAGAATTCAAGTAATCCGGGTAGCAAAATATACACCAGAAAAATCAACCGATATAAACTTCAATTTACTCCAAATAAAAGGGACAATGGCGGGGAATCAAGGTCAAAGTAAGGGTCGAGACGGCGGGGAGAGTTGGGCCGGCAACAAAATCAATTTCCAACTGAGAAGGAATCGAGCTCCTTTCCCGATTTGGTAATATGGATCCTCCGCCTTCATCGCCGCCTGCACGTATGCTTCACGTTCACCTTCTCTACACCACGCTGACTGAACCAGTGGACTGCGTTCGCTGCTTAGAATAATGGGCTCTGACTGGGAGCTGGAAAATTCAGATGCGATAACCGTCAGCTCCGACGATGATGACCTCGAGGTCTCACGCCTGTCGAGGCCATACAAGGCTGCCCTTAGTCGTACGTTTTTCCGCGTCTACTACGGTCCTATTTCTAAATTGAAACTGATATCTCTCCGAATTTCAGGTACAGCATCCAATTCGGAAGTGACACCACGTCCCACACCTAGATCCCGATCCCCCGTCAAAGAACAGTCTTCGCCTCTCGACAAAACTACCTCTGTGGTAGACCTGGTCGCGCAAACCGACAGCGATGATACGTCCTTCAATGATGGTGAAGTGGCTTATCAGGCATTTAAAAACCGAAAATCCCTAAAGCGGAAACGGTCCTCCCTGAGTGCGCGCAAGGCCAAAACGCCTAAAATGGCAGACCCCGGGTCCTTTGTAGGCAGACGTCCAAGGCAAAGTAGGAGGCATACACCAAGGCGGCCGCTGAGGGAGTATGGTGAAGAAGTGTCATCCGAGGATGATTTAATGGAATACACGCTTCCGGACTATCTGCAGAAGCGACGCCAGCAGTTTGATCGTAGAGAAGAACATCTCAAGGAGTCCGGGCTGAAATTACCACCGGGTTATGACGATATTGAATTCTCCGATGACGAGCGCTTAGAGTTTTTGCAAGAGAAACCTGCTTTTACGAATATAAGTCCGTGCAACGTGTATAAAGACATCACACTTCCTTACTCTCTGGGATTGATACCTGCCCCTATCGCGCAGTGGCTGCGACAATATCAGGTCGATGGAACTGCTTTCTTGCATGAACTTTTTATCTATCAAAAGGGCGGGATTCTCGGTGATGATATGGGCTTGGGTAAGACCGTGCAAGTGATTGCCTTTCTCACCGCAGCGTATGGTAAAACAGGCGACGAAAGAGACGCTAAACGAATGAGAAAGATGAGGAGAAGTGGGAAGGACCGGTGGTACCCACGAACGCTGATAGTATGTCCGGGTACTCTGATCAAGAACTGGATGTCAGAACTTACCCGTTGGGGCTGGTGGCATGTTGACACATACCATGGAGACAACAAGGAACTTGCTCTTCAGGCAGCGAGATCTGGACGAGTCGAGATCCTTATCACCACTTACGGCACCTATCTTCAGAATAAGGATGCCGTGAACATGGTAGATTGGGATTGTGTGATAGCAGATGAATGCCATGTCATCAAGGAACGGACTTCCGAGACCACTAAAGCTATGAACGAAGTTAACGCTCTCTGTCGGATTGGACTGACAGGGACTGCTATTCAGAATAAATATGAAGAACTCTGGACACTGTTGAACTGGACAAACCCGGGGAAACTGGGCCCAGTGACTACTTGGAAGAGGACTATATCCGAGCCTTTGAAGATAGGGCAGTCGCATGATGCCACGCTGCATCAACTGAGCAAAGCTCGCAGGACTGCTAAGAAGTTGGTCGAAAACCTTCTTCCTCAATTCTTCCTCCGGCGAATGAAGACCCTGATAGCGGATCAGCTTCCTAAGAAGATTGATCGTGTCGTCTTTTGTCCGTTGACAGAAACGCAGTCAGAAGCCTACGAGAATTTGTTAGATAGTGATATCATCCGCTACATAAAGGAATCATCTGATATGTGTACCTGCGGCTCAAAGAAGAAGGCTGGCTGGTGTTGTCAGCAATACTTACAGTCTGGAGCCCGATGGCAGAACTATGTGTTTCCTGCAATGGCCGTTATACAAAAGCTTAGCAACCATCTTGCGATCTTAATACCGCAAGGGGTAGATTCTAGGGAGAAACAGGACAAGGATAGAGACTGGCTGGAAATTGGCCTTCCTAATAAGTGGGAACAGCTTTACCGGACGAGAGACTCCATCGTCAACTACGCCAATCCTGAGTTCTGTGGTAAATGGAAGGTCCTTCGACGACTGCTGAAGTGGTGGCATTCTAATGGTGACAAGGTTCTGGTTTTCTCTCATAGCGTTCGACTATTGAGGATGTTACAAATGCTTTTTTACCACACGAGTTACAATGTCAGCTATCTGGACGGATCAATGAGCTATGAGGAGCGGGCAACAGCCGTTGATGAGTTCAACTCAGACCCCCGACAATTTGTCTTTCTGATTTCTACACGCGCTGGTGGCGTAGGTCTTAACATCACATCTGCGAACAAAGTAGTCATCGTCGACCCCAATTGGAACCCATCCTATGATCTCCAAGCCCAGGACAGAGCATACCGGATCGGCCAAGTCCGAGACGTCGAAGTATTCCGACTCATCTCCGCCGGAACTATCGAAGAGATCGTCTACGCGCGCCAGATCTACAAACAGCAACAAGCAAACATCGGCTACAACGCAAGTTCAGAACGAAGATACTTCAAAGGCGTACAAGAAAAGAAAGACCAAAAGGGCGAAATATTCGGGCTAAGTAATCTCTTCGAATTCCAGAACAAGAACATCGTCCTCCAAGACATCATCAATAAAACCAACGTCGCCGAAAGTCGCGCTGGCGTCCAGGTAATGGACATCGAGGTCGATGAATCTCAGGCCCACGAAGATTGGCCGGAGATCAAAAGCAAAAACACCGACGATGAAGTCATGAGCCAACTCGCCGCCATGATCCGCGGTGATACCGAAGACGTCAAAGGTGCCCACCAACAAAACCCCCTCCCTAAACGCCACGATCCGATCCAGGCGATCCTTGCCGGCGCAGGCGTCGAATACACCCATCTCAACAACGAAGTCATCGGCTCCTCCAAAGTCGAAGAGCGTCTCAGTCGACGCGCGGAACTAGCTAGCCAAAACTCGAACAATGATGTCCAGGTCTTCGAGGACTCTCAAACCGGATCAAATACCGGGTCTACTACCATCTTCCAGAAAGATGGTCAACTGATCCGGTTTAAATATCACCCTCCCCCCGACGTGATGAAGAGACAGTTTTGTAGCATGGCCAAGCGGTTCGGGTTCCCTAATGCTACAGAGTTTGCTCTCGTCGTGGAAAGCATGACGCAGGCTCAGAGACGGGCGTGTCTAGAGCGTTGGTATAGGGAACGCAGGCAGATTTTATTGGAGAAGGAATAATGCTCTTTGCATATGTTCAGTTGCTTTTTTGGCGTTGGAGTCTGTTTTTGTTCTTGAGATACCCATGATCATCAATGATCTGATATTGTATATTGAATTGAGATACTGTACTCGGTCACTGAGTTGACAATCAGTACTTGAATATGAGACAGATGGTCTTGATACAAGATTACAGGAAGCAGACATCAAACTGATTTTCACTTGGTCTAAGACGGTATTGAGATACCCTTTGTATAGATGGATTGAATTGATTCATGTAGAATAGTCGTCATATTATCAAGATAGTAGGAGTATATCACTATTATTTAATGACTATAACCAAGCCAAAGTCCACAGCGCCGGCAGATTCGGCCACTTCTCCTGCCAAGCTGCAAGGATTTCCGGAACTTTCTCGTCGAAACTTCTCCGAGCTTCGCCGGTTCCATTTTCCCAGCCGTCAGGATTATTCATTTTGCGTTCCTGGGTGGCGGCTTCGTTGAGCCGATTAGCTAGTTCGAGAATGGCTTTTCCTCCGACCAGAGCTTCCTCGTGGTTATCTTTGATATCGACATTGAATACATGGACGGGCCGGTTGAGCAGCGATCCTTTATTCATGAGGTCGTCGACAACGGCATCCCAACACCGCTCCTCGCAAGTGATGATGACATCGACCACGCCTCCCTCGGTGCCCAAGGCGCCTTTGTCGCCTTTTGAAACGTGATCCACGCGAGGCATGCCTGGGACCCAATCTTGGAAGCGCTCCGGTCCCCACTTCAGGTTCCGGTTGCGTTCGAGCATATTTAAAAGCCCGTTGTTACGATAAAGCCTTTCATCCTTGGAGAGAAGCTCCTCGTACATTTGAGAATACGAGGTGGTGTTGAAGTTGTACACATTAGGTTGCGTAATAGATGGGCCTGGCAGACGGACAAGGGAACCCGTTCCAAAAGAGATAACAGGGAATGGAGATGGTGCAGTAGATAGACGAAGATGAGCTTCCATCGAACGATTTTGATTCGAGGCGCACACTGTGCAGAATTTGAGTTTGTACGAGTCAGACTGCTGCTCCTGGGCAAGTGCGGAAGCAGTCCCGTCTGCAGACTCTGTCTCCGTTGGTGCTGCCATGGCAGACTCAGGAGGGGGAGGGGGAGGAGGCGGGGGATCCGGCGTTGCAGTGCCCGCACTAGCTAATCGTGGATCATAGGCCATGTTGCACGTAAATTATATGCAGACCAGGAGACAGAGTGTATGTGATAAGGGAAAGGGTCCAGTTCAGAAAAATTGAAAATCAAGGAGGCTGGAATATGTGTTCACTTGGTCCCTGCAATGACTATTTCGAATTAGCGAAGTCACACAAAACCAATTCGGCGAGTAACAGTTGCAGGAAGTGAGTTAAATGAGTTCAGAAAGATGAAAAGCGTATAATTAAGTTTATCCGCATGATGTAGCTCGGACAGCTCCAATAATAGAGATCATCATGTAATTGATAAAAACCAGGTTAAAGGAGAAAATGTGTGCATACCTTAGAGGAACGTCGCATTATCTGCAATTAAATTAGTTACCTATAAATCTGCGACCGTGTGGTGATGAGTAAGGGCCGCAGCCCTGAAAGGCAAAGAGTGAAGAAGTTTGCGAGTTGCTTGGATTTCGCGTCGAAGCTTTTGTGGTCACGCGTGCTTAGTCATCGCTAATATATCCCTTTGTGCCTCAGGTATCAAATTTTGGTGCCTGTTTGCCTTAACAGTGGGGCAAATTATTGCAGCTTGTTTTGCTTTTGAGGTGCAAGTATAAAACTTTTTTGTTGGTCAATTTTATTTTTCCAATTAAGAACTCGAATAAAAGATAATTGTAATGTACTACCATGTAGTCCTTGTTCCACTATGCGTAAATATCAGACAAAGAACGCATAGATGGTGTCACCACTTATCTATGAGGGGCAGCGAGAGTGAATATCAGGAGATATCAACCTGGCACCTTCCACACTTTTCATCGTAATCATTTCAACTACACACACAGCTATCACAAAAACCGCAAAGCATTGGGTTCCTACTCAAGTTAAACAAAGCGAAAGAAGAGGCACTCAAGATGAAGGCAGCTCTACTCGTAGTGGACATTCAAGAGGACTTCTGTCCACCAGTAGGTTGACTCCTGCCAAGAACACCTCACAATCGCTAATGTCCAACAGAATGGGTCCCTTGCAGTGCAAGAGGGGCGCTCGGTCGCACCCATTGTAAACTCTCTCCTGGTTCATCCAGGGTTCGCAATCAGGGTGGCTACGCAAGATTACCACCCAGAGAACCATATCTCCTTCGCCAACAGCCATCCCGCTCCCAACAACATCCCCTTGGAGAGTGTGATCACCGTAAACAACCCAGCACCCGGTAAGGGAAGCGAAACCAGACCACAAAGGCTTTGGCCAGCGCACTGTGTTGGGGGTACCGCGGGAGCGGAGATTATCCCTGAGATTAACACCAGCAACATCGACGTGTATGTGAGGAAAGGCATGCACCCCCAGGCGGAAATGTACTCCGCTTTTGCCGATGCATTTGGAAATATCGATCCTTCTATCACGGTACACTCGGTGAACGTCGACCTCAAATCCTTACTAGTCAGTCAAGGTATTACTGACGTCTTTGTGACTGGGTTGGCGGGTGACTATTGTGTCAAGCATACCGCTATCGATGCCACCAAAGTAGGCTTTAAGAGCTACGTGGTTGAGGATGCTACTCGATGTGTCGTACCGGGTTCGGGCTGGGATGAAGCCGAGCAGGAGATGAGGAAGACGGGCGTTTCAATTATTCGATCCGATGGGCCTGAAATTGCCGGTTTAAAGGTGTGAGCTGTTTCAAAGGTGGATGAATTCGTTCTAGCGCGGTCTTCTCTTTCTTTCTTTCTTTCTTTTTTTTTTTTTTTTTTTTTTTGAATTGGTTTTTTGATTCCGCGATCATGGTTACCTGAGCTAGGAGATGATTTCAATAGAGTCATAGATAGTTCAGTTTATTTCGAATTGCAGCTTTCGATATGCCCTCCGTGTCATATTTCTTTAGAAGTTGAATGCTTTTGAACAGGGGCTAGTAACGCAATATACAACGCCACAAGTCTTGATGGTCACCTAATAATATTCCCAGGCTGTTTGGAAGGGGATCTGATATCATGTATACAGTCCAACATGATATCAAAACTACAGGAATGACAGGTCTCCACTGTGACGTCTTCCCGCGCATCCCTTCATTGAATAAGATGGCAAAAAGAGAAAAGAAAATCGGGGTTCCCACCAATTACTCCATACTTAGGGGCAAACTATAAAGAAAGACTTGGGCGTCATGACTTCTCTCTTTGTCTACCTCGAAATAACTGTATGTGGCAGCGGTAAACCCGACAATCCCTTCTCGAATGGTTCTGGGGAGCGGGTCTATAACGACGATCCTCGAAACCGTCGGTTGCGGAAGTAAGCCCCGACCGTTGGGTATGGGGTAGTAATTAAATTGCATCTCCTTTTCTTCGTCTCTGGAGTGCCCTCACTTATAACATACGCTTAACCCATTCGTTATATGTATATCAAATAGACTGTTTTGCGCCAGTCAGTGAGCTCGCTATACGTCATGACGACCGCCCTTCGACTTTCCGCCTCCGCCACAGCTTTCACCTTCCTCGATAGAAAGTTGGAAGCGCCCGATGCGAGGGCGGTCGCGACGCTATCGAACCCGACTACCAGTGCCAACCTCTCGGGTGAATCATTGCCATACTGGCTGGTCAACGTCCCCCGGGACAGATGGCCGGTAGAGTGTCCCAGCTTTCTCCGCGACACCGGCGAAAAGAATATCCAAATTCTATCGACCCCTGACGAGCAATATAAGAGACAAGGATGGGAACTAGTGAAGGAGATCGTCAGTAAGTACCCGACAGCATCGCTGAGGGTATTGTTGAGGGCCGCATCTAATGATATAGAAACCAATCAAATCGATCGTTTTCAACGCCTTCCCAGTGATCTGAGAAAGTATCTCGAGTACAAGGAATGGATCATCGCCGAGTACGGATCGATCATGCGATTTGTTGTCAAGGAACGACTGCGCTGGGGAGAAGGCCGTCCCGACGACCTTAAGCCAAAAGGGCGTCCGTTTGAGTTTGATGGTAAGTCCATGACCCATTTCGCACGGTATAATCCCATGGATCCTGTGGCTGATGTTCTATGTAGAGGATATCCGAATCTTATATAACGATTGGCCATATGGTGTCGAGAAAGATATCATTCATCTCGTGGTGTGGACAAAGTTCGAGCTGGAAGATGACCCAGCGACGGATGATCTTACACCGCAAGCCAGACAAGAAATTTATGACTATGTGAGGATGACGTTTTGCTCGCGAATACCATCGGAGAGGGTATGTGTTGCGTGTGTGATAAACATGATCTCCCCTGCTTTACTCATTTAGCCGAACGACTAACAATTGTGTAGGTCATCTGGTTCAAGAACTGGAAGTCTCTCAAATCGGTACATGCGGTGGAACATTTTCATGTTATGTTGTATAGACCGGATCCGGAATTCTTGAGGGAAATCACTAGAGGAGATGTGCCGATGATTGCGAGGATGTGAGTTGGATTGTTTACATACTTGTATAGTTTGGTTGTTCAATAAAGAGGGAGAAATCCATTGTTGTTTGGCGCTGATCTGGATTGGGGATAAATTATGCTTGTTTGGTCTTAGTGCCAAGCAGGGTTTTTCTTCTATTTTTTATTAGCTTGTCCATCACTTTATCTAGATGTTAGTAGTAGATGTCTATACCTTCTTTTCTATTTTCGTTCTTGAACCGTGCTAGGTTTGTCTCCAGAGAACCACCTTTTCATACAATTCTACAGTATGACCGGCGTCGAAGCCACAGACTAGTATGTACATACATACGAATGGAAGGTAAATGGAAGAATCTCAGAAACAGATTGCACTGCATAAATGGCTACGTAACCCCCACTTGCCAAGATCCACGGCCCCTCCTCTATAGATGAAGCTCTCGAATAATCGGTGAGAAAACCCTTGGTGTCCAAGGTGTCGTTTTGTTAGTTTAGTAGTGATGAGGAATTCAATAACTCCAACTTGGGGGAAGAACACTTTTTCTTTGACACTCCTACCTCAAGTTTATACAGAAGAGGGGTACATACAGTACATACAGCATGTCTGTCTGTCTTCGTATGGGTGGTGGGAAAAGGAGATGATCTTCTGTTGAGACTCATGCACTCCCCTTTCATAGTAACGACTCTTCTCTCGAGTATCCACCGTAGGCTATATAAATCAATAACCCACCTCGTTTTGCTCCTGTGTGGTTTTTTTTCTTTTCTTTTCTTCTTTTCCTTCTTTCACGCACTCTCTTTACAACGAAGATTTCTCAAGGATAGAAGTCTGAGGTGTAGTTCCTCCTTGCCTTTTTTCTTTCAGCCTTGATTGAAGTCCCTCTGCATGGATTGATATCAGGTGATTTATTTACTTACAGCACCAGTTATTGCTGGTATTATTATTATTATTTATTCTCTAGAAAGGTCAGGAAGGCAGAAGAAACAGAAACGAATACGAATAAGAGTGACCCCAACGCGACTTACTACAACTCCTTCAAGCCCCAAGCGACAAAAGTTCTTTTTGATTGTTTCGGTTCTTCTTTTCTCTTTTCTTCCGTCTTGTAGGCAGTCATGACCCTAATGTCGCATATCCGGCGGCGGTCGTCACTCGCTGTTAGTAAGTTCAATACAATACTTAACTTACCAACTTTACTTACCTAAACGTCACTCCTATGGTTTTTATTTTTCCTTTTTCTCTTTCTTTTTTTTGCCTAATTTCATTTCCTCTCAACGTCATTTCCCTGCCCTCTTCTTTTCTTCCCCTCCTTTTACCTCTCGAACTCTCTTCTTTCTCCCAAATACTTGGCACATACATATCCACTCATACACACCCTTTACACTTACATACTTATTACTTACATACATATATCTGTAATCCATCTCTTTCCCCTCCATCCTTCTCCTTCAATCAGTTATACACACAGACCTCTTTATACATAGTTCGCATTCCACCATCCTATTTCGCCTCTTTCCTTCTCTTCCTCTCCTTCCCCTCCATCATGTCTGCTGACTGGGGCTCCTTTTTCAATTCCTCAGGTAACCGTTCATCGACGGATGAACCTAATATTGTGGCCGGGGATGACGACACCGAACCCGACCAGGGCAATGGTACGTAGAGAGAAAAAGAGAAGTACCCAACGTGCGAAAGCAACAAGGAGCTTAGCTCTCTTTCTGCGATACCGAGAATCTAAATATGCTGACCGTTCAGTCCTGTCGCATATTATCAGCCAGCTCCGCCCGGGAGCTGATTTGAGTCGGGTCGTACTGCCCACTTTTATCCTCGAGCCCCGGTCTATGTTGGAGCGGATTACCAAGTATGTGCGATGCGTGCCATTATGTGCGGGTACAGTACTAATTTCCCACAATTCACAGCTTTATGGCTCATCCGGAAACCCTTCTACCCATGCCCACTGTTGATGATCCGCTCGAACGCTTCGTTTCCGTCGTCAAGTTTTACTTGAGCGGTTGGCACATCAAGCCTCCGTATGTCTGATCTCATGATGCCTCTTCAAAAGGATGGGCCAGAACACTTCGCTAACGCTCCGTCGCAGAGGTGTGAAGAAACCGCTCAATCCGATCCTCGGAGAAACCTTCACCGGCTACTGGAAGTATCCGGATGGCACCTACGGATATTATATCGCCGAACAGACATCCCACCATCCTCCGAAGTCAAGCTACTTCTTTATGGCCCCCGAGCACAATATCCGGATAGATGGGACGCTTATACCGCGGAGTAAATTCTTGGGCAACTCGGCGGGAAGCATGATGGAGGGAATTGCCATTTTGCGCTTCATGAACCGCGGTTCGAATAAGGAGAAGGGCGAGCGATAGTATGTTTCGCCCTTGTCTTCCGCCGCTTCCAGCGCTACTACTAACGTCGATCATAGCATCTTAACCCAGCCGAATATGTACGCCCGGAACATTCTGATTGGGAAGATGAAATACGAGCTTGGCGACCACAGCTACGTCAGATGCCCGGAGAACAATCTTGTTGCCGATATCGAGTTCAAGACCAAGGGATACTTCTCTGGTACCTATAATCAGATTGGGGGGACGATCAAGAACAGTGAGACCAACGAGGTATACTACGAACTGTCCGGCCTTTGGAATCAGGAGATGTACATTACAGACGTCAAGGTAAGACTCTCCACGAAATTTTCTACCCGCTGCGGTTCTCTAAGTGGCGCAGACCCATAAGAAAGAGCTTCTATTCGACGCAACTAAGGCAAAACCTACCCCTCCTTCGGTGCGGCCCATCGAACAGCAAGGCGAGCGCGAGTCGCAACGGTTGTGGCAGAGTACAGTCAAAGGGATTTTAGACCGGAATCACGACGTGGCTACGGATGAAAAGACTAAGATCGAAGATCGCCAACGAGAAGAGGCAGCCAAGCGGACCAGTGAAGGAGTTGAATGGCATCCGAGACTCTTCCGTCGAGTCCAGGGAGGTCCCGGTGGGCCAGACGAGGGAGAGGAGGACCTCGACTGGATTATCAACGCACAAATGTAAGTCTCCACGAGCGTGTAGGATTTTTGGTTCAAACTGACGAGCTCCATAGCAACCCGCATGACCCTCAACTGGCCGCCAAGCAAATCCTATCCATTGCCCCGATTCTGGAGGGCCAGAGCGAGTCCTCTCAATTTCAAATCCCACCGCACAAGCGGGAGCATGAGGATGCTCCATCTGATCAGAACGGCGCAGGCCCGAGCGCGGATCAGCCCCCCCCTTCTGGAGGGGAACCCCTCGAAGAGGTACAGCGCAAAGATACCCGAACATCCGACGTCGACACCTTCGTGGACGCCAAGCCGTGACCGTATTTTCATAGCGAATAGATGTGACTCACATCTAGATTGCTTGGTTTAAAGTCGAATGACCGCATCTCGACCAAAACGCGGGTCTCGGAGGGACATTGCGATCACAAAAAGCAAGAGGGAAAAAGGAAAAAAAAAGAAAATGGTAGCGCAACCCGGAGTCACAGACGTAGTTAAACCGCGAGGACGGAGCAAATGAAATGACGGACTGACCGGACCGTACATCAAGAGGTACTCTCGGACGGCCGTATGACTCCAGGCCTTATCGTTCAACGCCAGGTTTTGATTGATTTGCCCTACCGAACCTCTACTGGATACCCGATTGAAATATTCTGTCTTTATGTTTAGTATATCACATGGGGGGGGGAATAAAAGGGTTGGTTGGTTGGCATAAATATAGGAGTACAAGAAGGACGGACGGATGGGAGCATATACTTTGTCGGATGTGCAGAAGTGGCTTTTCTAATATGCAGTCGCAAAGAGTCTATATACTTTCATTAAATTAATCACATAATTCTACCAGGTGCTCTTCTTTTCCTATATTCTGAGACATTGATATTGTATGCTGTATAGTATGTAATGGTACATTAACTCCACTGGTATCACGTATAGTAACAGCCAATATAACCGACGCCAATACCCACCAACACCGAGATATAAATGTATATACTTCAAGAAAGACAAAGATAGGGACAGATCGAGAACAGATCGAGAGGTATAAGGTAGGCGAGAGGGAGGGACGGGAGGGAGCGGAAAATCAAGTGAACAACTCCCCTCTCTGCCCAGCCCCCCTCTCCAACTCCCGTCGTCGACTATTCTTACTCCCGCCCTCATTCTCCTCCTGCGCTTCGTCCTTCGCAGCCATCTGCTCTTCGATCTCCTTCTCCGTATCCTCTCGCAAACCCAGTATATCCGGCGGGATAAAACTCATCTGCACGCTCGGCGCGCCCTGCATATACCGTAGCTGTTCGTGGATGGACTGGACCAAACCGCTCAGGTAGCTGCGCGGGTTCTTATTCTCGAGCTTGCGCATTTCGCTCAGCGGTGGGAATAGCGAGTAATCTGGGCCGAAGTGGTTACGGAAGGCGACGGTTTCGGGGATGTTGGGGTCGATGATATCCTGGGCGTCGATGAGGATGGAGGTTTCGTGAGCCCAGGCGCGGGAGACGTTGCGCGGGGTATAACCGCCACCGCCGACGACGAGGAGAGGGAGACCGAAGGTTTTGACGTAGGCGACGCAGGCGCCATGGGCGGCGACGTTGAGGTTGAAGCAACCGAGACGGTCGCAACCGAGGGAGTCGGCGCCGCACTGGAGAACGATTGCGCCGGGTTGGTAGGTTTGGACGCAGGAGCCGACGACCTCGCGGAAGAGCTGGATGTAGGACTCGTCGTCGATGCCGTCGTGGAGGGGGACATTGACGGCGTGGTGTGCGCCTGGGTTCAATGGGTGCGTGGGGCCTGTGCTGTCAAGTGCACCGGTGCCGGGGAAGAAGTTATCCTTGTCGTATTTGTGAAAGGAGACGGTGAGGACGCGGTCGGTCGACCAGAAGGCTTGCTCGACGCCGTCGCCGTGGTGCACATCGATGTCAATGTACATGACACGCGGATGCAGACGGAGCAGCTGGAGAATACCCAGGACGATATCGTTCACGTAGCAGAAGCCGCTTGCCTCAGCCTTTTTGGCGTGGTGTAGACCGCCGGACCAGTTGACTGCGATTTCTGATTGACCGTTGCAGAGTTTCCGGGCGGCATCGATAGAGCCGCCGGCATAGAGGGAGCAGTAATTGTACAGGCCGTCGAATATGGGACAGTCGTCGCCGAAGTTGAAGCGCGCAACGTTCTCGCCTTGTTCCGGTTTCTCCATGTCGCCGGGGATGACCTGGCGGAGGAAATCGAGGTAGTCCGTTTTGTGAAACTCGGCCATTTCTTCGTAGGTCGCTTCGCGAGCCAGGTACAGGTCCATCGCGTGGTGCATTCCGTAGGCCATGACGAGTTGCTTGGTTAGGGTCAGACGCCAGGGTTTCATGGGGTGCGATTGGCCGAAATGGTGCGGTTCAACTGCTGGGTTGGCGTGCCAGGAGACACGGTAACCTTTGGGGCGGGCGATGCCATTCTGTTGGCGTTCATGGATGGTCTTGTGGTCGAGGGTGAGCGTGGGATTTGATGACGAAGGAGGGGCGTATTCTTGGACGATGGCGGAGCGGGCCATGGTGCGGAATTGGAGACGAGAGTGAAGAGGAAGGGAGATAGACGGAAGGAAAGAGGAGCGATATGTGGTACAGATAAAAGAGCCCCACTAGGAGAGCATTCTCAAAACATGGCAAAAAGAAGGAAAGTAGAGGAGACGGGAAAGTCGAAGGAGAAAAGGTGAAGATAATGATAACGCGAGAGCCGAAGTCACTTGGAAGGCAAAGAAAGTCAGCGGAACGCCAAGAGAAACCCGAGTTATTGCCGAACCCTGACTGTACACCCCGGAGTATATTCCCGTTGTCGGCCATGCCGATATCATCGATGTAGTGAAGATTAAATATTTTCACCGCTAGAGTTTATAAAAGCTTCTCGGTGTATTTTTATGGGGTAATTCCTGCATAAGTGCCTATCCAGTTTACCGATGTAGTTCCTTCCTAGTGCATATAAAGCTGTCATATTCCATCCAACCAAACACCATCGCCCCAAGGCATCCTCCTAATTAATCCTGATCATCAAGTATACGTCATCTCAAACGTATCCCCACAACCTACATCATGCCTATGGTCACTGCGGCCACTGGTCTTCGACGCACCCTCGAAGACCCTAACTCCTTCATTGTCGCCCCCGGTGTATATGATGGTCTGTCTGCACGGATTGCGCTTTCCGTTGGCTTCGACGCTCTGTACATGGTAAGTCAATTCCTCCTAGTTACTCGGTGTCCCTATCTAATTCCCCGAGACTGGCGCTGGTACCGCCGCCTCCGTGCATGGGCAAGCCGACCTGGGAATCTGCACCCTGAACGACATGCGCGCCAATGCCGAAATGCTCTCCAATCTTTCACCTGTCACGCCCGTCATCGCGGATGCAGATACTGGTTACGGCGGTCCGATCATGGTTGCCCGCACGACGGAACAGTACTCGCGCTCGGGTGTCGCAGCCTTCCACATCGAAGACCAGGTGCAGACGAAGCGCTGTGGGCATCTAGGAGGGAAGATCCTTGTTGACAAGGATACATATGTGGCACGGATTCGTGCTGCGGTGCAGGCACGCCAGCGCATCGGCAGTGATATTGTAGTGATTGCACGCACAGACTCCCTACAGACGCACGGCTATGAAGAGAGTGTGGAACGACTACGCGCAGCACGGGACGCGGGCGCAGACGTAGGCTTCCTTGAAGGAATCACGTCCAAGGAAATGGCCCGACAGGTGATCAAGGAGCTGGCTCCATGGCCCCTGTTGCTGAACATGGTTGAGCATGGGGCGACTCCGTCTATCTCAGCAGCTGAGGCTAAGGAGATGGGATTCCGTATCATCATCTTCCCATTTGCTGCTCTGGGACCAGCCTGTGCGGCTATTCGTGAAGCTATGGAGAAGCTGAAGGCCGATGGTATCCCTGGCTTGTCGAAGGAGATGACTCCGCAGATGTTGTTCCGGGTCTGTGGGCTCGATGAGAGTATCAAAGTTGATGCACAAGCTGGAGGAGCGGCATTTCAAGGGGGCGTTGATCTGCAATAGACTCAAGCCGTACTATAGGGGGGGATTAATGAGTGCCAGCTGTCATATTATGCATGAGTAACGGTCATAATTAATCTTCTGTAAAACAAGTCATCAAACAAGTGAGCTCTGGCTGCTTCCCCTATTCAACGACTAGAGTTCAGTCCAGAGTCTTTATATCCTGAATGCCCACCAAGGTTCATATAAACTTCCTCTGGGGTTAACATGCACAGACTAATTGTACTGGGGCTTATTTTGCCTGAGTGTACTCTGCAGAGTAGATGAAGTATATTTCTTTACTTAGTCACACAATGACTAGCGTGTTGAGAGATGCTTAGAAGGTAGATCACTATATGGAGCTGCGTTATCAGTCTTCGCCTGGACAGCGGATTACTAAAGGATGCGCATTAGCGCTCTTATTCAGCCATGGCGCCTCAGGCAACGCGGTGCGTGTGTTCCATGAGAAGAGATCGTTTTGTGGACTTCTTCTACTTCTATTTCAGGACTTAATATATTCCACTCTGTTGGACTATTTCATCCTTAAATCCGATGATAAAGTCTTGAATTGTGCAACAGCCATGGCTAACATTTCGGATATCCGTGAGAAAATATTTCAAAACATAGAGGCTCGATATCAAACTACATACAGAAAGACTAGATTCTCAAGATTACCGTGTCTCACCATAGGAGTTTTTCCACTAGATTCTCTCTAGCTGGGAGAATGACGCCGGATTGTCTCTCTTGCCATCATCGTGTGGGGAGACCGCACCTATATGGTCGTTGGGATTAACAGTCATGATTACGATTTTGACACAGCACACAAAACCCGATCTATCCTTCCAGCCTATGTGCTTTGGCAGTGCCGAAAAGAGGCAGGGTCATTGTAAGATGGCCTCAAGAAGACCAGCCCGTTGCTGCAAGATTAGCAGATCTTCAACCTGTTAGTGGCTTGATGTCAGACCACCTTTCCTAGAAAATCACAATTCACACATCGTACAAGTCAACCCCCACGAGTGTCCTGTGTGGGGTGCTATGGTGTTGTCGGCTGAGCCTATATTTTTGATTGCTTATTGCTTCAGGAATGAGAGTGACACTCGACCAATGTGATTTTAATCTCGTGGTTCGACCTTGTAATTCGACACATAGACAAGTAGGAAGGTGGTTGTGCGTATCCAAAGCTCCCGTTACGACAAAAGCCTGTACAAACTGGTGCTTTGAAGGCTCTCTTCGACTGGCCATGTCCAGTCGGTCTCTTGCACACATGCCTATTCAGTATTCTCCGTTTCACATCTTTCTGCTTTTCTCTTTGATTTGGCGTGTTTGTTTCAAGCGTGTCTCGATAGCATAAATGTCCAATCCAGAATACATAATCATAAAATGTCAATTGGACTCTTTTCTCCAGGGCTAGAGTGCTACACATCGATATCTCAAGCAACTGACACCTAACGTGACCCGCCTTTGCCTAAAAGGATCATAAACTTCGTAGGGGAACATGTCCCAGGTGGCAAACCAGCTATAATTGTTTCAATTAATGCAATCTACGGAGTATGGGAGCGGGTCGTAGGGCATGGGCACGACACGTTGTGAAACCTTAGGTTCAATTATGGACACATGTAATCGGCCTCGGAATCGCACTCGGACGACGAATAAACATTGCTCAATAAGAAGGCGTCAAAAGCTCGGACAATACGGTCTTATATGTATTTTGCTGCGCTTCCATAAGATTGTGTCTTTAGACCAATGTCTTGCTACGCAACCCAAGGTAGTTAGTTGATGAAGGATGGAATCTAAAAGGTCGCTGACCGAGCCTTTACATCTATAGGAATGCCAGCGCCTAATAGCACCGCAGAAGAATTGGATTGCGACCATAAATGATGAGAAGAGCCCCGCCATACAATTATAGGTTTATGTAGATCCAGGTTGGAGCTGGGATGGATTGATATATAGAACCTCCACGGGAAACCGACCTAAGATGGTCTCGGAAAATCCGATTGAAATCGGTGATGATGAGGATTCTATAAGCATATCATCATGCGATATACACCCTCTCAATAAAGCAGCGGGGGTAAGTTGTGATAAGTCTGTTTTGCAAGTCCGTAGCCTTGCATTGGTTCTCAAGGGGAATACCTATAACTATTAAGGATGAGCCGTACTCCGTATGCCAAGATATGTCTGACAAAGGTAATGTTGTTATCGAATGTGGTCACGTTTATTGACAATTCCTAGATACTTCTATGATTAAATTTGTAGTGTGGTAAGTCACTAGGACTTTGATTCCTATATTCATGGAGTATATAATAATATACATCACCGTTCCGTGAGATATTCCGTAACACTAAATTCCCTGTGACGAGCCTGGGCAATGATCACATGATGCCCCCTGTGCCGACAATCCGACACGAATAGAGTTCAGGGATCATCCAAGACAGCTTACGAGGCCCTTTTCCGTGCCAAAAATTGGCTGAAAGAAATAGATTATAACCCAACTAAGAATATCTCTTTTCCCCCCAAAATGGAAGAGAAAAGTTGCTGCACAATTGAGATCAACTTTTTCGTCAGTGCAATCTCCCATTTCATGGGCCACCCTTGCATAGTCCCGTCCTCAACCGTGGGACGCGAACCCACGGAAGTGTTGTTTATTTATGCCCCAGTTGTGTAGTTCCTACCCACGAAATCCTTCTAATTTCCGATGATGCATGGAGTTGAGATTTTTTAAGTGAGGGCACACATTCCAGAAGCGTCCCTCTCAAGACGAGTCGAGTCGTCTAGCAGCACAACCCTGGATATCCCACCGTCAGCCCGTATCCTCACAGGCCAGAATAGCCGGTGGCAATGGCAGTTGTGGACTTGGACATAGGTATGGGTATCCATTGTGGATCAGTCTACTTCGTTAGTACGGTATCCTCTTGTACCATCTTTCATTGGCCCACGACAGTAGGCGTTGGCTGGAAGGGTCTGCCGTGGGCTCTTGGTAAAAAGTTGAGGTTCGAGAAAGAAAGAATACAGACAGACCGTAATTTGGACAAGACATATGTACCAAGATCAAGGATCAGCAAGGTACCCTTTAAGAGGAATGTGCCTAATCTTAAATCACTGATGAGTTGTACGGATGTTAGTAGAAATTGATACCGTAACAATAAACAGGTATTCATTAATACTGTACATACATACATACCTGCGCTGAGTGGTGGAAGAGGGGCATACACTGTAGTCTACGTCGAGTTATGCCAACCCAACTATAGTGACCAAGATACGATGGATCCCGTGTCCTTTCTCCTGCGTTCCGTATGATTTCAAAACATCGGATGAGCAGTATATCATGAATATGCTTGACATTTTGTGGACTTAGCGACGTGGCAGCTCAGTTGTCAGACACCGATCCACGATGCGAACTATTGGACAACCCCTTTGTCCGATATGCAGGAACCATACACCGCAGGAGCCATTGGGGTAACACATTGATGGATCGAATGAGGTAACGGTACAGATAAATTCCAGTCGATGTTGTCATGTCAGATCAGGTAGCATTCCATTCATCTAATCATGATGATTGGAATGGGGGCCGATGACATCTGTCAAGATTGTTTGGAATGGTACCGGTCGAATAGATCAAAATGAGTACGAGGTGCATGCGTATGTAGGAGATGGTAGGAAGATATTCATGGCAATGATGTATCAACAGAGGGACTGACTGAGAGATGGATGTACATACATACTGTCAGGTACAGAACGATCTATAACGATACGGTACCACGGTAAAGACATGATCAGCCCGGGGAGCGTTCCAAGGATGCAGAGTCTCGACCGCTGATGCAGTGGACCCTTAAGGGCTTCCTCCGCCAATGGAGACCTGAGTGAGCGCGCCAACGGTAAGCTCAGGAACCAATTACTTCCCCCGTCCAATAAACAACAAAGGCACTTCTCGTGTCCCCTGATCAGACCCCCTTTTCATTTTAAATGAACCCATCAACGGTAAAAGTATTATTACAGTGACACTCCCCCGGTCTCTCTTTTCTCTTCTTCTTTTCTCTTTCTCTACTCATCACTCTTCTTTTCCTTCTCTCGGGTTCGCAATCCATTCCTTTCTTTATAGAGCCTACCGTTGCTCCACACATTCATTCAATCACCAAGACACATTCCTTGACCTTGTTTTGCGTTCCCTGGGTTGTCTTCCTGTGACATATACTGTGATACCCACATAACTTGTCCCGTACATACTTTCCTTGAACTTCCAACATACTGCTCACCATGCAGATCAAGAACTCTGTCGTTTTGCTCACGGCCCTAACGGCCAGTTCTGCCGTCGCCCGAATGCACGGCCATGACCGCCGTCATGCTCACCACCACTTGCAGCATGAGGAGAAGCGTGCGGTCGGTGATATGGTCTACGCCAACATCAACGGCATCTGGCAATCCTGGGTCAACGAGTGGTCCGGTCATGCCACCACTTCCTCCGGCCCCGTCATTGCCACCTCTTCGGCCACTACTTTCCCCAGCGGCAGCTCTAACGGTGGCCCTACAGCTATCTCTTCTGCTGTCCCTACTGCCACCGGTGGCCCTGTCGTGACCACTCCCGGTTCCTGCAAACAGTGGCATGCCACCAAGGATGATGACTCCTACACCCGCGAGGGCTTCGGCAAGTCGACCAAGAATAACGGCGGGAAGTATATCGACTACAAGGGCAACGTCGGCGACCCTTATGGTAGCAACATCATCGAGGTCTCCGAGAGCAAGGCCTGCGAGTACAAGCACGTCGTCCGCATTGACGGTAGCGAGAAGGAGCCCTGGACCGTTGGCTTCTGGAACAAGATGGGTCCTGATGGCAAGCTCACCGGCTGGTACGGCAACGCTGTCCTTACCATCAAGATCCACCCCGGCGAGAGCAAGTACATTGCCTTCGACGAGGATACCCAGGGTGCCTGGGGTGCTGCCAAGGGTGATTCCCTGCCTCTGGACAAGTACGGTGGCTACGCCTGCACCTGGGGTGAATTCGACTTCGGCAACAGCGGCAACAAGGGCTGGTCCGGCTGGGACGTATCTGCCATTCAGGCCCAGGAAGCCGGTCTCGACGTCCAGGGTATGAGGATCTGCGACCACACCGGTGACAAGTGCTCCTGGATCTCCAACCTTGCCAAGGCTATGTCCAACGCCTACAGTGCTCTCGAGGCCGGTGTTGACGGCATTGGTGGCAACCAGATTGCTGGTGCCGTCCGTCTGCTTGTCAACATTGACTACGAGTAAGCGTTTCCGTATCTTTTTTCTTATAAACTTATTCTCTTTCTCTTCTACGACTTTCTTCCGGCAAAATTGGCTAGGGGTTGGAGGTGTTTCTTTCTCTTCATTGTGTACTGTGTAACAGTGCTCGAGTCTCTCCCCATGGGGTGGGGGCCCTTTCACCTTTCGAGCCCTTACAGCCGTGTCCACCATCCGGCCTTGACGATAGTGCATTCATTTCCATGTACATACATATACCACAGTTCCCTGTCTATTGATTTAGTTTCATATCATGAATAAATTTAACGTACAACTCATCCGTGCTCCACTCCGTAGCATTCCATTCCATTCCCTTCTCTGGAATGGCCATGACACTTACCACATCCCACTGCACCTTTATTTTAACTTACCACCATTAACAAAGCGCAACTCTAACCTCTAAACCCAAAGCCCCAAACAAAGAATCCTCCGCCTTCCTTACACGGGAAGACATAAATAGCCCACAGCAATAATCCCTCCAACAATCTATAATTAGCCCCAAACTTACATCTGTATCTTACTTTTTACTCTAATTAATCTAAACCCACTTTTAGCTTGTCCAGGCCAGGTGGTGTGTATAGTCTCTGTAGTAGCGACTAGATGATATATTGGGGAGGAAGAAGCCCTTGACATGGTTGAACAGTTCACGAAGATTGGTGCTGAGTATACGACGGTTTACTTTATCTCGCGTCGCGGGGAACTTGGGGAGGTTGGTGTTTTGGATCTTTAATCATATTCTAATACGTATTTACAACGATAGCCATTGTCAGTGAGTTGGGGGGGGAGGGTGCATGTTGGGTTTGTGTTTTATGTATGTATGTTTGTATGTATGCATAGTGTATCATGGAAGCCCCCCTGGGAAGGAGGGTTGGGGGGTTGAGGTTATGTAGAGTAAAAGTATGTTTATGGAAGGTGGTGTGCAATGGTGCGGGAAATAGGTTGGTGCCAGCAAAGAGGGAGAGGGAGTATCTACGTTGGGCAAAGTTGATGGAGAGTGTTAGGCAGTGCTACCTCGGCCTATGCATGTATTTGACAAAGGAGCGGCGGTGAAGTGGTATTAAAGGTATGGGATTATAGGTTGGGAGTGAACCAAGAGCAATCAGGCATTTCTATTTATACAAGTAGAGTCAACCGGCAACCAAGCAGTCTACAGCCCAGCCAAAACATTCTTCAACTGATATGAATCTGATTCAATGTTTTCCATGGCCGCCAGTTCGTCATCATGAATCTCTACATCCTCCTCATATTCATCCCCCATCTCCACAGAAAAGAATCCCTCGTACGCCATGTACCCGATCAATGCGGCAACACCACCCACCGCATATGCGATATTGACCAGAATATCTTTCTTCTGTCCCCTGGCAAAGGAAGAAAGTTTCTGGCTATCGGGCTCCGAGAGGCCCGAGTCTGGCGATTCGGCCGCTACCCGCAGCCTCTCCTGGGCGCGGATATCTTTCAGGATCGGAGTGCTATCAGCAAGGGCGTTGAAGAGGGTGCTTCCCAGCGTAGAGAGGCGAGCACGTTCCGGCGCACGCCAAGGTAGTGATGAGCAGGAATCCTGAGAAGGGGCGTACGCATGCGACACCTCGACGCCGAGACCGTAACACTGTTGGCGCATGCGCTCGGTATACACCGTTAACCGGGGCGCCTTGCTCTTCATCGCATCGCGGAGCCACGAGAAGGATAGCTCCGGAACGAGGGCCAAAGACATATATCCGACAGCCAAGCAGTCTAAGCTGGATGGTCCATCGTCCTCGCCCGAGATGAGATATGCCTTATTGGCGAGGATCTCTTCTAGCGGCTCGAAGAGCTCTCCCGTCACAGCGTCCAGTCGGAACTGGTTCTGCTGCGAGGTCTTTCCTAGGAGACCTGTGACGGTATCACGCGGACGGCGGATGAAGTTCGGAGGGATCTGACCGGCTGCGACGGCGGCCGAGTGCTCGCGTTGGCGCTGTTCTTCAATGGCTTGTAGATCCAGTGATGAGAGGCCGAGATGATCGGTTCGGGCTTTTGCGGCGGCATGGATTCTAGAGGGGAGGATCCATTGGTTTGGCCATTGAAGGATGGAGCCGTAGGCGGGGGAGGTCTGGTTGTAGTAGTTCTGACTGGTTACGTAGAGGGAGAGGTCGACGAGGGCTTGGGCGCGGGATTCAACGAAGGATGAGAATCTGATTCTCGGTCATGGATACAGTTAGAACAGGTTTCCCACTGGCCTGGGCGATAGTCGAAGTCCAATATGAGACAAACATACGCAATATTATCGGCTCTTTGTAACCCGCTCAACCCTCTATCCAAATCCCACTCGCCATTCGAGTACTGCCGCAGGTAATCCACGATATTTCGGAATCGGCTCACCCATGTCGAACCATTCCGTAAAGCGGGCAATTCACCTAAGCATCCAATCAGATAGCAGGGGGGTTAAGTTAGTCAATTGCGCTGTCAACCCCAGATCCGCGACATGGATACTTACAGGTTGGAGACACGGAAGGATCACTGCTTGCGACCAGCACCCATGCGTCCTTCGGCACAGCCAGAGAGAAATAGGCTACGGTTGCGAGACATTGAGCCTCTATTGAGGGCAAGGAGAAGGCCGGCCCCCAGACATGTAGCTCCAAAACCATTTTAATTTCGATCCCGGTATTGTTTTTCTTGCGTTTGGAGTAAAAGTGTCATTCTGGGGTTTACGGCAAATTGGAGGTGAAGATCACGTGGGGAATGTCGACGGGGATTCGATTCGATTTGATTGTCCTAAGGCAATCAGGCAACAGTTGCGATGAGTATATTGCCAGGTTCTTGTGATACATTTTCCAGCTCCATGACACTCAAGTCCGTGTTCAAATGGGGAAAATGGACATCGGACATTGTATAACTTGCTGGGAATCAATGCCACCTCAATTAAAATCATACATTAAGTCTACGGGGTTGCGAGGTTACATTAATATGGTAAATAACAATCGATTTTTGTTTTAATTTTTCAAAGTTTTCGTCCCTCCTGCAGAATAATATATTGCTGATGGTTCTTATCGGACACACTAAAATTCCAGACTCGATTTACCCGGCACAATTACCGCACTCGATAGGATATCAAGGAGCCTCAGCTAAGGCAGCGGTGCGTGGGCTAGAAGGTCACCACGAAAGTGCGACAGTATGACAACAATACAGTACTGGACAGATGGGCGCGAGGGGCTGCGGCATTCCAGATAGGCAAGACTTGATCTCCTGAAATGCGGAGTAACCTGGTCATGACACCTAGTGCAGCTTAGTAGATTCCATACAATCCCGCACATGGATAATGATCAGGTAAGTGAAACATCCAACCGTCACTACCCAGTTGTGCAAGACCTTGAGGTCATTTGACAGCTTCCCAATCCCTCGGCGGTACAAACGACCTCCTGAATTAAGTTTGGGTCGATCAGTCGCCCAGGCACCCTAAAAACCAAGGGCACCGACTTGGATTGGACCAGATTGATGGGGTAACCCGCCTCTCCCACCTCGAATTCGTATCTGGAATAAGGAAATGTCATTCCGTCCCCATCGTTGTGTAGTTGTACATACATTGTGCATAAGGGTTTTATCATGCTTGTATTACGTACAGCGATAGGATGGTCGGATTGATGGATGCACGAACGGATGCATGAAAGGGACGCCGTGGCTGCGGGCGGCTGTAAGATTAGATTATCTCAGCTTTGGTTTGGAAACTGAATTTTTTTTTCCCTTTCCGAATATTTTTGGTTTTCCAGCGTCTTTGATGACGCTTGTCACCTAATCAACAAAGAAGTGAAAACGGAGAAAAAGAAATTATCCGCGGCAAACGAGGGGAAATACAAGTACAGGCAACCAAAACAAGGATCCATCTGCGCAAGTTACACCCGCCAGCCGCCTTGCAAGGATTGATCAATAGTCGCGATTCTGAACAGGGAATAATGGCGCTATCGGCTCAAGATCCCTGCGGACGATTCGGCCGACTCCAACGGCACAAGTCACATCATGAGTGCAGACCATCCGGTCATTTTAAGACAATTAAGCGCTGGTAGCGAGGAAGAGTGGATTCAGCTGAGGTAGATAAATTGCTTTCATTGTTTGGTTCAAAACGCTGGCAAGAATGCAAGTGTGTGTTGGGTATATTAAGTCTATTATACATGCCGTTGCTTCAGATGAAATTAAAGTCCCTATAGAAAAAACAAATGAAGAGGGGAAAATGGGGAAGAAAAAGAGAGATAGTACAAAAATGAAAAGACCCATAATTAAATAAGCTTCAAGAGAAGTTCCCGCAAATCAAAATGGGGATTTCCAATAACGCTTTGACAACCTGATGATGGTCAAGAAACTCGCATGCTTCATCGCGAGGTCTGGTTGGCTGAGGAGTGACATGTTGTCAGGATCCAAGCCTCTAGACGCCCCCTGGTCTCGCATCGCTTTGCGGGGTTTGTACCGATAACGAGCCGTTGGAAACCACCGATGTGAGAGATAAGTGACAACGTGGGTGGGGAGATGACAAAACCCCGATAACTTTGATATCATTTTGTCGTCAGGTGCTAGCCTTGCATGACACCGTCGGTCGAATCAAAAATGATCGTGAATCATCGACGGTGGTCTGATGTCGCAATGCCAAAGCGCCATTGCAGAAGAGAAAAACGTGGCGCCGGCGCCTGTCCGTGGAGTCGGAGCGTGAAGAAAGATAAACTCCCGCAATTAACGTCATCGCGCAGCTTCTATCTGAAGCTGGTCGAGATCCCAATGAATAATAGAGAAGGGGACAAATCCGAAAATAGTTGAAAGAAGAAGCGTTGAATAAATGTTGTATGCGAGAATGCGTTCGAAGATCAAAGCCACTTTGCAGTTCCGAAATCGAAAATCGTGATATCCATATGCCTAATGCAACGCCGTTTCGTAAGCGTCACGAGTCGGTTCGGGTGGGTGTTAACATGACGGGAGTGTGAAAAGCGTCATGAATTGAACCGCTCGAGTCCGCCGGGTCGTCATTTCATCACAAAACCCAAAGATTTTACTTGGGGAGAGGAGGAAGAGGACCCTTTGGCGGAGGACCAGGGCAAGGAGGGAATTGAGAACCAGAACCGCCGATGGAAGGCATGGTGAGTATGAGAGATTAATTGATGGATGGTGGTAGTGGTGTTGGCGGCTGATTGGTAGGTTGGATGTTAATGAGTCTGGACGGGGTGTAAACGTCTCGAGGTGATGTGCAATACAATAGTATTCGATGTCTTTGGAAAAAAGGGAAGAAACCAAAGACGAGGTCTGGCAGAGGCTATATATATAGGCTATGATCTTCTGTTGTCTTTTTTTTTTTTATTAAACCCCAACAACAACCATATTTCCCGACAATAATTCTTTTGGAAAAAAAAAAAAAAAGACAAAAAAAAGAAAACCGGGAAAATAAATTTAATAAATTTAATAAATAATTAATAAGTAAGAACACAAACCCCTGCCGTGAACAGGAGCTGAGCTCCACAATCGGACAAAGGGGAATGAACTACGTCAGAATTATCTGACCGTCTTGACACTAGTTCCGTCCGGTGTGGGCTGGTCTTATCGACAGGGCCCCAATCGGAAATCTCACAGAAATTTTCTAGAAGCTCCTCCTGTTCCACTTTTCGCTGCCTCGTCTTCTGGGGACGGATGCGCCGAAGGGTGAAAATGCTGACCCTCCCCCCTATCCTTGATTATGCGTCCCACTGCCTCCCGGAATTTTATTGAATTCGCCCGTAGATTATAGTTATTCTGTTATACATACAGATTGCGGTAGTACTGCGTCTACTGTTGGGGGCAAAAAGAAAAAAAAAAAAGTAATAAAAAAATAAACCAATGCTTACTTCGTACATCAAAAAGATAAAAAATAAACAAGAATGATCAAAATAAAATACAAAAATTAGACCCACAAATTTCCTATTTTACGTTTTATTCTTTTCCTGACTCTTTTCGAGTACTCAGTTTCTTCTACGCGGTAGGGTAAAAAACCGTATCTTTCATCATCAACATCATGATTATTCAATATTACGTAAATACACGGTATGGACCGAAACAAGTCAACGCATCATTGACACTGACATTGACATCAAATAAGTAACTATTAGAAAGCATCTGACAGAATGACTCAAGGGTTAAAGCCACTAACCTGTAGTTGTTGTCTGCGCACAGATAAACCTCGTAATGCCTCCTCTCCCCCCTCTATGGGCTCAAAAGGCTAGAGGCTGACGGGCACGTGTTGGCGTGTCGATCGATCCTGAGGGAGGAGAAAAGGAAGCTGATCAAAAGTTGAGTAGACTACCTAGTCTAAGGATGATCCCAAATATCCAAGAGGATGCTCAAGATGGTCGGTGCTGGTTGCCTGAAACTCTGATCTGTTTGTGATTCATCACCTCACAGACCCGAAGGATGGAGATCCTAGTTTCAGCCAGACTGCCGGGACCGCTACCAGCCGCCAGAACCTCAAGCTCCTGACTCTCGCAGGGTTCCTGGACATGATCACTCTCAACCTGGTACGGGAACCGGTTAGGAAAGAGTCGTTGATTCCTTGCAGCCTTGGCCAAGGGGCTTGTGTCAGGTAGGTGTGACTGGTCGTTTCATCCTCGTACTATGGGATATTATTAGCATACTGTTGGACAGTACCTGTAATGAACCTGTACCTTACCGGGATGTTTCAGCTTTTTCCAGGGGCTGAGCCGCCAAATCAGAAAAAAGATGATTGGTCGGTCGGCTCGATCCTGGCTTGCAGATGAACATAGAGTATTATTATCTGTATTTAGTACTCCGGTCTACTAGTAGTATACATATTATTTTCTAGGTACCTTAGTACCTACCTTTTTAAGGCACCCGAAAAGTCTTAGCATTCAACAAATCCGCTTGAGATTTGGTCGGTAGTACTTAGTAGTTCCCGTTGCTTTTGAAAGTGTTACAATTTTTTCCTCACGGCAATCCGTGCTCCAGGTTCTGACCGTTGAAGTTTGACGGCTGACCCGTCAACTTCCCAAGGTTTATAGTTAGTAACCCATTCCTGTTGGGCAATTAGGAATCAAACGCACAAATAAAACAAATCACTTTTTAATTAAGGAAAAAAAAAAAAAAAGAGAGACTGTAGTGGATGCTATCCTGAGCCGCTGTGGCTGAACCTCCCTTGCTGATATCATCCAAATTCGCTGACCACGGATGCGAATCCCTCAGCTGGTATCATATTCATTCCCCTGTCCTCTGCATGACCACCGTATTCGAGTTTCCTTTATTCTGCAATGCAACACCTCTTCACGTCCGAATCCTGTTTACTGATTTGATTTATATCCCTGCTAGTGGACATTAAACCACTGACAATCAATGGATCCGGATTCAAGCAATAATATTCCGGCTGTAACTATGGAGTGCAGTAGTGCGATGAACGGCGTACAGCGGATCTTCTGCAGATGAAAAGTGGCCGGGGTGTGGAAATGGACGGAACGCATGTCACCAAACCACTACATCCAAACTTATCAAGTATCCGTTCACCGTCGATCCGTCAGTATCTGTCTAACCAATCCTTTCTATTAAATTCTGCGCTGTTTAATTTCCACGATTTGCCACTGTTATTTTTCTTCGGAGTACGTCTCCCGTCCCTCCGTACTCCGTCTTTGTTAGTGGTTGGCATTAGTGAGAGATTGACAAGATGCAGGAACGATCTTCCATTGGATGCTGATCTGCCATCGAACTTTTCTGGATCTAAAATTTATTCTAGACATGCGTAACAACCGTGTGTCCCGGATTGATATTCGACCAAACTATCACATGATCCCTCATAAACCATATTAGAGTTTGATTTTTACTTTTTACCCCTTGTCCCTTTTTCTTTGGTTGAATGTGGCTGAAGGGTGGAAAAAAGACACATGGCACGAAAAA